GGGGGCTTAGCTTCCACACCGCCCCTTGGCACTGTTCCTTTGGGGATGTTTCTGGCACTTGCAGCCTCAGAATCCTGACCTGAGAGGTGCGTGGCATTCTGGGCAAGCTAAGAACCCAGGACCAAGGACATGGTCCCCAGGCTCGATGTGTAAAAGCTGGTGACAACTCCTAGTCTCAGGCGGCACCCTCCCCAGGTTTAAGGCAGGGACAGACTCCAGCTGCAGGGACTTCTTCCCTGTCTCTACTTTTTCCTACTCTCCAAAGATTCCATGAAGGTGTCTTGCTTTCATAAGCTAGAAGAGAGGCGAGAGGAGCAAATTTTCCTTCTGAATGTGGGGACGATGCGGAGAGGGCCAGCCTCACCCGCGGGCACACGCCGACCCCGCCTGAGCCAGGAATGAAGCCAAGGTGCTGTGGCCTCTCAGTGGGGCCCCCAAGTGGCCCTCCAGGCTGGGCTCACCACCCCCCGCCACCCCGGGCACAGAGCACTCCCCGCCCAGAGGCAGCACGTTCAGACCCGAGGACTCCCTTGTTCTGGGCCGAGGCCCAGGCTTCTCTCTGCTTTGGGGCCTTTGCGTGTGGCATTCCCACTGCCTAGAACACGCCTCGCCAAGCTCTCAGCCACCTCGAGCTTATCTTCAGGGTCTCAACAGGAACATCCAGGCACTCAGGGCTTTAATAGGTAAACGGGCCCCACACGCTGGGCTGGCCTGGAAGGTGAGCTGGTGTGCCCACTGCATACCACGCTCCAGGTGAGTCCTCACCCTCTGGGCATTCCAGGAGAGGGAGCGCCTCCTACAGGAAGCCCTCCCTGACTGCCGGGCTTCCCTAGTCCTGACCTGATCACAGCACCACCACACCAGGCTGCACGGTTCTCTAGCTCCCAGGCTTGAGCCTCTCCTGAACTGGCAGAGGCAGTGAGCAAGAATGAGAGGGACAGAGGGCAGAGAGCGGGTTTGAACTCTACCTCAGGACACAGTGGCTGTGGGAGGCTTGGGAGGGAGGGGTTGGGAAGGGCTGGTAGGAGTTAAGGGGGCAGTTCCCCCCAAGTGGAGCCCAGAAAGAAAGAAGAAAGTGAAGTTGCTCAGTCGTGTCCGACTCTGTGACTCTATGGACTGTAGCCTACCAGTCTCCTCCATCCATGGGATTCTCCAGGCAAGAGTACTGGAGTGGGGTGCCATTTCCTTCTCCAGATCTTCCTGACCCAGGGACTGAACCGGGTCTCCCCCATTGTAGTCAGACGCTTTACCGTCTGAGCCACCAAGGGGAGCCCAGAGAGGTGGTTAAACCCACCCAAGTGGGCCCACCTTCACACAGGTAGGAAGTTGCAGAGCTGGGGTCCAGGCCTGGCGCCCCCAGTCCAGTCTGCAGAGAAGGAAGGCTCTGAGACCACCACCCCGCCCCCGCCTGCAGCCCTGACGTCACTGTGGACTACAGTGTTGGCCTCAGGCCACTCCAGGTTACGGGCTATGCAACCACCAGGCCTCCTCCCTCCTCTGGGTGCAGTCCTCCCCCTGCACCACACCATCAGCTGCCCCGGGGTTTGGGGAGTCCTGGCACCCTGGCAATAGTCCAGCCCCCGGGAGTCAGACCAGCAGCCAGGCAGGCGGGGGGTGGGGTGGAGGGGCACAGAGCAGACCCCTCCCAGCGCCTGCCAGCCCACCCGTCCCAACAGTCCCCAAAGAACCCACCCTCCTGCAGTCTGTCCACTCAGCAAACATCAGGAGCCCCAAGAGACAGATGGACGGGCCAGGGAGTCCCTGCTCGCCAGGATGGAAGCCTTGGGAACATGGGAGCCCAAGACCCTCAGTCCCCAAAGTAACTGCAATATTTTAGGGTGCAAAATCCGATCCATGGTCTTACAGAGGCTCCGAGCCCCCAGCATAGGGCCAGTCAGGGCTCTGAGAGCGCCCGTAACGCTCTCATCAGCTTTTCATCCCTCAGTACATCCCCTGCAGGGTAAGCCATGGAGGACTCAGGTAGGCCCCCCCCTCCCCCCGCAACCAGGCTGATTCTGACTCCTCCAGGGGCAGGAGCAAGAGGCCTGAGGCAGAATTCTGGTCTACCGCCCACTCACCACTCACAAGAGCGGACTCATCAGAAAAGACCCTGATGCTGAGAAAGGCTGAGGGCAGGGGGAGAAGGGAGCGGCAGAGGACGAGATGGCTGGATGGCATCACCGACTCACTGGATGTGAGTGTGACCAAGCTTCGGGAGATGGGGAAGGATGGGGAAGCCTGGCGTGCTGCAGTCCATGGGGTCGCAAAGAGTCGGACACGACTGAGCGACTGGACAACCCGCTCACCGTGTGATTCTGGGCCTATCTCCTCTTTAAGCCTCAGTTTGCTAATCTGCACAATGGAAACAGTTATGCTCATCTCCCAGGCTTGTATGCGAAAAGGTTAGCGATAGCCCCAGTGAGTACCCCCGAACAGGGTTTGGCCCCTGGGGTTTCCAGTGGGTTTCACCGGGCTCCTAGCAGTGGATGGCTGGCAGAGGCAACAGCAAAGCACAAAGGCTGGTCTCCCCAGGCCCCACCACCCCCCTGCTCCTGCATCAGGCCCCACCTTCCCCCTGGATGGCCTCCGAAGCAGAGGCCCCCTCCCCACGCAGTGAGGAGACGATTCCAGGCCCCTGTAGCCCAGGTGGGCGACAGGCACAGACGGGCCCCCAGGCTGAGTGGGGCGCCCCAAGTCAGGAGGATAAGGGGTTCCCCGTCCGCCAGCGGGACGAGGGCAGCTGTCCCCGCACAGCTAGGAGTGCTCCACCGGGGGAGGCAGGGGGAGGCCCCAGGCGGCGGCCCACGCCAGACTATCGCCTGCCTGCCCAGGAGGGGAGCTCCGTGGGCGGCTCAGCCAGCACAGAGCAGGAGCGTGGGGCCCTCACATCCCTCCCAACCCTGCAAAGGAGGCGCTCCTGCCCAGATCTCAGGACGGCATGGGAGGGCAGGGGCAGGGCGTACGCCCAGGCCCAGCTCGATCCACAGCCCCGAGCAGGCGGTGGAGGTGGCGGGGGATGGAGACAGGCTGGTTTCCACGCCGTGAATTATTCAGTGGTTAATTCTGCTCCTTGCAGAGGAGGCGGGAGAGAGAGTGAGTCAGAGCCCTCCCACAGCGGGGCAGGAACAGCACTCTCAGAGGAGGCTGGGGCACTAGCTGCGGTCCTCTCAGAGGCAAAGGGCCCTGCAGGAGGCCGGATTCAGTGGAGAGGGGGTGGGGGGGTGGCCACCACGTGGACGCCTCCACTGGCCAGAGGCATTGGCCCCTCACTCACTTCCCGCTGCAGGTCCAGGCAACTCGGGGGGCGGCTCCTAGGAGGGGTGGCGGCCAGGTCAGCCAGGGTTGGCAGCATGTGCAGGCGGCAGCCCACGGGCCATCGGGAAAGCTGTGTGGGTCACAGCCACCCCGGGTGCCCCTGGAGCTTCAGGACTGACAAGCGGCAGAGAACTTCCTAAAGTAAGGTACACTCTCCTGCTCGGTGGAAGCAGAGCCCCGGGGGACACGTGTGGCAGAGCCACCCCAGGGGAAGCTCCGGGGGTGCGCGGAGGAGTGGTGTCACCCCCACCCTGGTCAGCCCCCCAGGACTGGACTGCTACAACATGGGCGTCCAGTTTTGTAAGAATCCTGCTGCCTTGGGCATGCCTAGGCCGATCCCTCGCCCCCTTTCTAATCTGCTTAGAAACAGATCAGCAGCGCTGGGGAACCAAGCTCCAGGTAAGCGCTGGGTTTGGGGCGGCACACTCCCCGCAGAGCTGGGGTGCTTCCGGTTCTCCTCTGGGCAAGGGAGGCCCTGAGGACAGAGCTCTGAACTGGGGTGACACTGTTCACGGATGCTGGACTCCCAGGCCGTCTTGTGAGCAAAGCCGTTCCCCGCCCCCACTCACCCTAGGGCTCTGCATTCATCACCAAAGAGGAACTCGGACATGATCCGGGTGACCAGGCACCCCAGCCACTGGGGCTGTGGAATCCGGATTCCCAGGCAGGAAGGAAGTGTCCACAGCCTGGTGCCCTGGCCCGCACTCAATGGGAGTGGGGCTTGGCACGACCCCAGACCTAGGGCTCCACTGGTAGAGCCTGGTTCCTCGGGGAGAGGGCTGCAAAGGGTCCGTGCCCACCCCCACCCCACCAGCTCTGCCCAGACTCAGCCTCTTCCCTGCCTCCCAGACTGAGGCCCATCTTTTGTCCCTGTGGCCAGGCCTCCCTCCGACCCTCCCTCAGGGCTACAGGCAGTCGGATCTCCGGGCAGGCACTGTGTGTACACTCCACAGCTTGCTCCAGGCAGGGGGTCATTAGCAGTCAGGGGGGACTGGCGTCCACACAGACCACTCACCCACCGACATCTTGGCAGTGAGTGGCATTTCCCGGCTGGGGCTGAGGGGGCCAGGAATCCCCTCCTGGCTGCACCAGTGCTCTCAGGCACGGACACGGTCCTCTGGGTCGGGGGCTCTGCGGGGCAACACCCACCGACTGCCCCTGCTCAGGGGCCTGGGCAGACACTGACAGCTGGCGGAGGGGTCTCCATGGAGGGGAGGGAGGCGGCTCCTCCTACCTCAGCAAGGAGGGAGGGTCTTAGCGACTCCAGAAGAGAAGGCTAGAATTGGCAGGAGGGCTGTGGACCCTCCATGCGGGCTTGGGCGGGGAGGTCCCCTTAGATTCTCCAGCAGGGGAGCCCCGTGACCAGGAGGAGACTCTCCGGAAGAACGGGTGCTGAGCCCAACAAGGAGGCGGGGGCCATAATCCTGGATGCGGGGTCGGGGGGAGCCTTTAGACCCTAAAGGAGGAGGGGACCATGACCCTCGCGGGGGAGGGGGCTCAGAGTCGGCGGAGGAGGAAGGGGCCGTGACCGCCGGTAGGTGACAGGAAGCCTTTAGACCTTGCAGAAAGCGGGGGCCGTGACCCTGGGAAGGGGGATCGTGACCCGCGGGGAGTGGGGCCGGGACCCTCGGAATGGAGGGGCCTTGACCCGGGACCGGACCCGCGGCCCAGGGAGCCCGCGTCACCTGCTGGTAGTCGGTGTCCTCGGGCCGGAACTGGCTGCTGGTGGCCTCCCAGTGCAGGTCGAAGTGGGGCAGCCGGTGCAGGAGGCTCACCCACCAGGGCGCCGCGTAGCTGACCCCGGCCATGGCGGGCCGGCCGCGGGGGCGCGCGGCCGTCGCGGGGCTCCCTGGATGGCCTGCGGAACGGCGATCAGGGGCCCGCCGACCCCGGCCTGGCCGCCCGCATCGCCCGCGCGCTCCTGGGCCCGGCCCGGCCCGGCTCGGCCCGGCTCGGCCCGGCTCGGCTGCGCTCGGCTCCGCTCGGCCGCCCGCACCCGCCGCCTCTTTGTTCGCCGCCGCGGCGGCCGCCGCCGCCGCCGCCGCCTCCGCGCGCCCCCGCCCACCGCCCGCCAGGGCCCGCCCCCGCGCCGCTATTGGCCCGTCGCCCGCCGGCCACGCCTCCAGCTCTCCCAGCCGCGCGCCCCGCCCCGCCCCGCCCCGCCCCGCCCCCGGGCCTCCATTGGCAGTCTGGGCGAGGCCCCGCCCACTGAGGCCTCCCTTCCCGCCGGCCGCGGGGCCCAGGGCGGGGAAGGCGGTCTGGACACGCAATCCCTGCCGCGGTCCCTCCGTCTGTCGCACGTGGAGCGGCGCCTCGCCCGGGCGCGCGCCCGTTGGTGGGGCCAGTGCACGTTCACACGCCGGCTGCGACGCCGGGCAGGGGGCCCAGGACCTGCAGCCGTGTGATCTTGGGCAAGTCACTTAACCTGTCTGTCCATCAGTGTCTGTAAATAGGGAATACGATAACTGTAAAAGGTTCAGAGCATCAGAGTGTGATCCAGTCGGAGTAAGTGGCCACGTGAGGGGAGCGGGTCAATTCAGTCCCTACTGGGCCTGCCTTTGGGGACAGTTGGGTCTTTTGTCAAGACCTAGAAGAAAGGCGGTGCCCTATCCTGGTATCCTTGAGCCTGGAAATTCAGGCAGCTGCCAGGGAGGGCTGAGCATGGGCTTTGAAGCCACACACACACGGCCACACTTCCCGGAGGACGTCGTCATGCCTGTTACTGAGACAGGGGCCTCCTAACAGACAGGGAGGCTGGAAGCGCCGCAATGCCAGGCCCAGCACACCCCTCTCTGTGTACCCCCGGGCAACAGGTGCTTCCTCTTGGCTCTGGCTTGTCACCACCTTGAGTCATCACTTCTGGACCTGCTGTGTTCTGAGAAGCAGGTCTCCACACCCAGGACTCTGCTGTCTGCCATGCTTGGGCTCGGCCGACTCTGCAGCTGGGCTGGGTTGTTGCAGGCAAGGACAGTTCTGGACGGTGGCTTCCCAGGGGGCCAGTCTGTCTGCTCACCTGACCGCCTTGACTTACCCATGTTCCTGTGATAAGTCTGGGGAGCCCCAGTGGGCCTCCTGCAACGCTATGGCTTCTGCTCCCCGGTAATTCACAGACGTCACCCAATTGGGGAATAACAGCTGGTCAGGAGAAGGAAGGTAACATTCTCCATCCTTAAAAGGTCTGATTCTAGTTCCTGTTATTAGCAGCAGGTCACATGGTCACAGAACCCTGGCTCCACTGTGATTCCCAAGCCCCCAGACCAGCATATCAGGCCTACCAGGGTCCCCATGTGGAGGCATGGGTCCCTGAGTTCCTTTCTTTTTTTTAACATATATTTATTTATTTGGTTGCTCCAGGTTTTAGTTGCGGCACGCAGGCATGCGAACTCTTAGTTGGAGCACGTGGGATCTAGTTCCCTAACCAGGAATGGAACCCGGGCCCCCTTCACTGAGAGCATGGAGTCTTAGCTACTGGACCATGAAGAAGTACCCCCCACACACACTGAGTTCTTTTCTACCTTCTAAGAAACATCACAAAACTATGCATTTTTCTCTGGCAGAGTCAGAAAACCAGACCCAAACATCGTATGAAATGATAACTTGGGTGTATGGGGTTGAATTCTGTCCCCACAAAAGATACGTCTGAATCCCCATTCTTGGTGTCTGTGACTGTGATCCTGTCTGGAAGTGCGGTCACTGCAGATGTGATCGAGGTAAGATGAAGCTGGATGAGATTATGGAGGGCCCTCATCCAATGACAGTGTCCTCATTAGAGGGAAACTGAACACACTTCAGAGACACAGAGATGTGGAGAGAACACTGTATGAAGACGGAGGCAGAGACGGGGTGATGCGCTCACAAGCCAAGGGACCCCAAGGGTTGCTGATGCCACCAGGAGCTGCAGGAGAGAGTGGGGCAGATCCTCTCTCACAGCCTCAGAAGAAACCAAGCCTGGTGACACTGCGAGCTCAGACTTCAGCCTTCAGAACTGAGAGACAAGACCTTTCTGTGGATCAAGCTGCCCGGCGTGTGGTCCCATTATAGCAGCCACAGCAAACGCACACACCAGGCTGCTCAGAGCTTCCGGTGGGCAGGCACTCCGTGTCTCCCGTTGCAGAGAATGGCAAAGGGCCTTGTCACTGATTAATACTTGCAGTGGGCTTGGTGCGTGAAACTTTTCCCAAGGGAATCCATGGAGGAGGATAAAGGAGGTCCAGGGCAGAGAAAAGGAGGGACCCACAGCACACAGTTCTGGAAAAGCACTGCCCCATCCAGGATCTGCGGAGCAGGCACCCGGCAGAGCCAGGGTTAGGGAAGGCCAGGCGGCAGGGGGAAGGTTCAAGGGAGCCTCCCCGCCTGGTGCTCACTGGCTGGAGCTGCTGTGGTTTTTCTGCCTGTCCTGGGACCCCTGCAACTGGAGACTGACTTTAACCCCACTCTACAGATGGAGCAACTGAGGCCCGGGCCCCACCATTGCTCCGGAAGGAGTACAAGAATCACCACCCAGTCAAGGAACCAGGGTTCAGCCCCATGCTCTCGGCCACAGACTAGATGACCTGAAATAGGGCTCCAGTGGTCTGAGAAGTCAGAGAGGACTCGGCATGCAGTGCTGACCGCTGGCCAGGACGCCAAGGGACACTCCTTCAATGACCCGGCAGTGTGACTCAGGAGGAGACGGCCGACGGGGAAACCGCTGCTCTTCCCCTGGCTGCAGAAGCAGTCCAGGCTGCAGTAAGGAGCCACGGCCTCCAAGCCCCTCCACCATGGGGACCCGGAGCCGGGGAGCCCGGAAGGTCTCAGCAGGGCCAGGCCTGTGCCAGCAGGAAGGACCAGCTGAGCCACGCCGAGCGCCTGCACCCACGACCTCCTCCAGCCCCTCGCCAGGTTCTCACAACACAGAGCGGGTGGTGAGGGGGTTTTCAAGGCTCAGAAATGAAGACACTTGCCCCCAGTGGACACATTCAAGAGGCAGGCAGACGGGCCTGTTTCCTTTATTTGAAATAAGACTAAAAATAGTCCTGCCTTCTGAGGAGGTCGTGCAGTCCGGGCTGTGTGCGCCCAGCTCCCCTGAGGCTCCATCTTCAGACTCTGTTCTTTTCTTGCTCTCAGTCAGGTCTTCTCGGCTCCAAAGTCCAGGTCATCTCGTGTCTTTTCTTTTAAAATTAACTACCTCCTACTCTAAGTCACAGGTCCTTTGAAAGTGAAAGCCACTTAGGCATGTCCGACTTTGTGACTCCATGGACTATACAGTCCCTGGAATTCTCCAGGCCAGAATACTGGAGTGGCTAGCTGTTCCCTTCTCCAGGGGATCTTCCCAATCCAGGGATCAAACCCAAGTCTCCCGCACTGCAGGCAGATGCTTTACCAGCTGAACCACCAGGGAAGCCCAAGAATACTGGAGTGGGGAGCCTGTCCCTTCTCCAGCAGATCTTCCTGACCCAGGAATCAAACCGGGGTCTCCTGCACTGCAGGCAGATTCTTTACCAACTGAGCTACCAGGGAAACCCTGAGGTCCTCTGAGCCCCAGCCTTTTCATGGCTGAAGTGGGTAGAGTCCTCCTGAGCTCACGGCAACATGAAGCATATATAAAGTATTCACATGACACTGCAGCCCAGCCCTATTTGCCACAGCCAAAAGGTGAGAGCAGCCCAGACGCCTGTCAGCTGATGAAGGGATCAACAGAAAAGCACCTCCAGGGGGTGGAATGTGACTCACCAGGGGCAGGCACGAAGCAGTGGTAGCTGGTGCAACATCGCAAACAGCACGGTCAGTGCAGAAGCCAGACCAAAAAGGCCACAAGCTGCAGGATTCCCCTCACAGGAGCCGTCCAGAAGGAGGACGAGCTATTGCCAGGGGCTGGGGGGCGGGAGTGGGGAAGGACTGAGTAAGGGGCCAGGGGTTTCTTCTCGGGGCGATGAAAAGTTTTGGAAATACATAATGATGGTTGCATAACACTGCACGAACTCAATGATACTGAATTGACGCTAAAAAATGGTTGAAATGGTTCTGCATGCTCTATCACAGGCACAAATGTTTACATGTGAAAGGGCCTCACTCAGTGGCCCCTGACCACGTCTCTCCTTCCCTCCCTCCCCACCCCCCCACCGAAGTAGAGCTTGTGAGGGAAGGATGGTGATGAGAAAGTCTGCAGAGAGAGCACCCTGAGGGCTGAGCTGCTTGGAAGCATCCCGTAGGAGCATCCTGAGCTAAGGAGGAGGCCAGCCCGGCCAGAATCTCCCCAGGGTCTGTCTCCCAGGCCAGGAAGGTGACTGGGTTGAGGCTCTTGAACCGTTTGTCCCAAGACCTGGAGACGCCAGGAGAAAGGCCAGGCAGGGGCTGGGTCCCCAGACGCCGGGGCGGAAGCCAGAACAATGAAATCCCTTGCGTTTGGAGCGCATCCAGCGCGGTTCATATTTTCCATGAGAGCAGGCGGGGAGAGGAGAGAGTGCGAGGCTGAGGCCGGGTTTCCCCAGCCCCCGCCCGGACGCTCGGCCAGCCCAGCGCCTGGTCCCCACAGTCCCCTGGCCACAGCGGAGCCACAGGAGCGCTGCTGTCAAGCTGGCTGTGGCGGAGGTGCCCTGTGGCTCTGGAGGCTGGGAGAGATGCCACAGAGCCAGCCCGCCAGCCAGACGCGGCCAGAACGACAGGTGCACACCTCAGATTTGCCCAGCACCCCCCAGCCAGCCGCCCTGCTTCTCCAGAGGGCCTCTGGGAGCCAGGAAACCAGCAGGGGTGGTCTCGGAGTGGCCAGGGATGCTGTGCAAGGCCCAGCACGCCCCCACCACAGTCTCTCGCTCAGCGCCTACTTGCTCTTGCTTCACACACAGTACTCACGAGGCTGGTCTCTGCGGCCCAAGCCCAAGGCAGACCAGAAGCCTGGTCCTCCTGGGGGGAGGTAGCCCCGGAGTGACATGAAGGGCCTGGTACTAGGTCAAATGGACTTGCAGAGGCCCCTCCCCAGGGTGGCCCTCTCATTCCCGCCCTCCCGCCCCGCAGCAGCCTCGGAGCTCTGCTGAGCGCCACCACGCGGAGTCACGGGGCTGGGCTCCTTCCACGCTCTGCCCACCCACTCTGAGCCCTTGGGGAAGCCCTGCCGCCTTCAGTGGCACAGAACTCAGCAAGCCCAGCTTCACTGTCTTGCCACTGGGAGGCTCAGACTCCAAGCCACAACATTGACCCAGGAAGAATGCAGACGCTGTATTCAGGAGGTCTCCTTACCGGAAGGAGAGGGTGCCTGTGTGTGCACACATTCATTTGTACAAACACCTTTCGTGCCCAGAGTCTCACTGAATTCTTGCAAGAGGCTGATGGCCACTTTCTATGTTTAAAGAGGAGGAAACAGAGACTTCAGAGAATTGATTGGGTGCAGAGACAAGATGGAACCTTCCGTCCTTTTTTTATTTCTGGTTTAATTCTCTCCAGCGCAACCCACTGAGAGATGTATCTCTAAAAGGCAGAGGTACTGGTTACCTTAAGGGGCTTCCCAGGTGGCTCAGTGGTAAAGAATCCGCCTGCTAACGCAGGAGACACAAGAGACGTGGGTTCAATCCCTGGGTTGGGAAGATTCCCTGGAGGAGGAAATGGCAACCCACTCCAGTACTCTTGCTGGAGAATCCCATGGACAGAGGAGGCTGGCGGGCTACAGTCCATGGGGTCACAGAGACGGATGTGACTGAGCAACTGAGCATGCACACATGTGGGTTACCTACTGCTCAGACAGCCAGCACTGTATTTGTTCTCTACTCCGGGGGCCAGCAGCTTGGGCCCGGCTGGGTGGCTGCGTCCCCGAGTCCCGGGTGCACCTGGGCTGTGCGCTCTCAGCCGGCCTCCTTCTGGCGGGAGGCGGCGCTGACTCAGCGGTTTCCGTGGCTCCAGCGGGCGACCTCGGGCACCCTCAGGGAGGCCAGAGGGTGCAAGCCAGAGGCCCGAGGTCTGGCCTGCTCACGTCGGCCTTCGTGATGCTCCGTTGGCCAAAGCCAGTCCCAGTGCCGAAGGACGGTCAGGACAGGAGGAGCAGAACAGATCGGGGTGTGGGTGCAGGGCCACGGTTAGGACGGTCTTGATGTGGCGGACTGTCCAAAATGGGGCAGGACTTCTCCAAGTCCTGCTGCTCTACGGGATTGTCTTCAGGCGGCTGGTATGTTCCGCTCCACCCGGGAGGCTGAGGTGCGCGGACTCCTTCGGCACCTCCTACATGTCCTCCCTCTCCAGGAGCCCCCACCTCGTGGGCTGGGATCCAGCGGGGAAACATGGACGGCCTCGCGCCGCCCTGGACTTTGGAAGTTGCCCAGCAGGGCGGGGGGGCGGGCAGAACCAGAGTTCACTGCCCCCACCCCTGCCTGGGGCCGTGGGCGGGCCGACCGCCGCACTTCCCCATCCGGAGCCCCACCAGCTGATCCCAGCCCGGCTGCCTGGTGACGCTGTCCCCGCTCCGAGAGCAGAGACCGGTCCACCAACCGACAGCTCTCCAAGCCCCAGCCTGGCCTCCGCGCCTGCAAAACTCCGTCGGTCTCTGGGGGTCCCAGGTGCCCGCTGGAAGGGGCTGTTCAGAGCTTGGCCCAGTCTCCTCCCCTCCCTGTAGCCTGGGTGCCCCCGCCCTCATGGACCAGCTCGAGTCGCTGGTGGGGGGTGGGCTGCCCCACGGCCGGGAGGTCTCTGCCTTGCCTGGTAGACGCAGGCCACTGGCTTCCATGTTGCGGGGTGGGGCCTGGGTCCCCAGGTGCAAAGCTGGGCCAGGACAGAGCTTTTCCCTCACACATGGGGAGGCCTGTCTCTCTGCCAGGGTGGGGCCTGGGGACTCACAGTGAGCCAGTCTTCCCCTGCGTCCCCGGGATGGGTGCCTCTCCTGGGGAACCCTGGAGGCTGCCCGCTCCCCAGGGACATGTGACCCCAGCCTGGGCTCAGGAGAGGAGGCCCCCCCCCCCACACACACTGTTCCGGTCACCAGGAGCTCGGACAGGAGGGGCCCTTGTCCATGTACCCGGAGTGTCCCCCACCGCTGGCTCTCTGCGGAAGGTGGGGTTGTGCCTGTCTCTCATGGGCACTTTCTGGCTCCTGGGGCCTAAGAACCATAGTCACCCACACCTACCCCTCCTGCCCTGCCTGCCCCATCCCTCCCGGAGGGCCTGGTGGGCGGGGTCAGGTGGGGAGCAAGGCCCCAGCTTCCACGATGATGACCTATCACAGGATGACCACACATGCTGGGATGGCGACATGTCCCGGGATAGGTGCTCCGTGAGTGTGTCCCGAACCGACACCATCAAGGCCTCAGAGAGCAACCCTGGCTGGCACAGGCCCCACAGGCCACGGGCTGACGGCCACCCAGAGACACGGCAACTCCAGCAGTGCCTCTGCCCTAACCTCCGGGGCAGCTGGTGAAGTTTTCACCCAGGGCGCCAGGCACACCGGCCAGCTATGTGGAGCGGCCGGAGGACATGTCCCTGCTAGTCGGGGCCTGACAAAACGCGGTCCACTGGAGCAAGGAAGGGGAAAGCACTCCAGTATTCTTGCCTGGAGAACCCCAGGAGAATCCCCTCTTACAGACGGGGTAGCTGAGCACCCCCAGCTCACCGGGCAGGATGGCCGGGACCCTTGGCTGCGAGCCTTCTGCCTGTGGGCTCAGCAGCCCCTTCCTCCCCAGATACCCCAGCCGGTTCCGCAGTGTGGTGGGGGACAGGGGAAAGCCGGGGGTCCCAGCAGGCCAGCCCACCGCCGGCCCTCTGGGCTCACTCCGCTCACCCTCCCGTTCCCTGGGGGGCCCCCTCCGAGGGCGCCCCCGCCCCAGGGCCCTGGGATGCCCTGAGCGCTCTCCTCTCTGCGGGGGCAGCCGAGGGGGCAGCTTCATTGGGCTCTGGTGGCCCCGGCTGGGGGGGCGGGCAGCACTCACGTTCCTCACCAGCCCTTGGGGCCATTATGTGCCCTCCCAGCTGCCAGCCTTCCTTCCACCTTCTGAAATGCGTTCTGAAATGCAAATCCAGCCCTGTTGTTCTTCTGCCAACAGACTTTCCCCGTTCCCACGGCTCCCAGCTCCGGGGGAGAAGGCTGAACTCTTCAGCAAATGTGCCAGCCGCCCCCCTCCACCCCGCGGCCTCAGCCTCTGCGTGGCCCCCGCTGCTCCGGCTGCCCCCTGCCAGTTCTGGCTCCGGGGTGGTGGGTGTGGGCTGATGGTTCCCTCAGCAGGAAGACACCCTCCCCACCTGCCCAGCCGCGGCCTCTTGCTTCCTCTTCCGGGTGTGTGTTGTGTGTTGGGGGGGTAACAGCATGTTACTGACCCCGTGGCCACTGCCCACTCCGCGCTATGCCCCCGGGTCTCTCCTGCCAGGGCCATCACCGCCCTGCTGAGGAGTGCTTGGCCAGAGTCCTGCTGACCTGGGGCCTGGCACCTCGGCAGGTGGGCATTGGGCGGGGAAGGGGGGGTACTCCAACCCCCCAGAGCGCAGCCTGGGTGAGAGGCAGACTTGCCCGCAGATGAAATCCACCTTGACGCCGAGCGTAAATTGCCTGCCTTCCCCAGTGCCCGGCACGCGGCACACGTGCAGGAAATCTTAACACGCGGGGAACTAACTCCTTCAGAGCACAAAGGAAGGAGGGGCTGATCCCTGCGAGCGTCTCAGCACTGCGGGCTGGCTCGGCGGAGAGGACATTCCTGGCTGGGGCCGGCTGGAGGCGGGGACGGGCCTCGTGTTTCTGCAAAGGGCGGGGAGTGGGGGGCCAGCTGGGGTGTGGAGGGGATCCAGGGCGCCACGTGGAACCTGCGCGAGTCTGTTGAGGGAGGGAGAAGGCGTGTGTTTACACTGGTTTTTATACTGAGGACCAGAGGCGGTGTGGGCGGGACCAAAGGGCCTGGCGCTGGAGGAACAGGGAGGGGAGGGCCGACCACCTCCCTGCGCCCATCCTTCTCCTCCTGAGTAAACGGGGCCTCTCGTTTGTGTTGAGTGTATTGCCGCCTAGAATCAAAGACAGTATTTCCAGGCTCCCTTGTAGCTGGATGTGCCACCCACCAATGGGATGTGAGTGGAGGTGTTCTCAAGCGACAGGACGCCCTCTTTTACCTTCCTGCCCGCTGGAATGCATCTGTTGTGGCTGGAGCTCAAGCAGCCACTGTGGACCATGAAGCCTTGTGTTCAGAAGGGGGAGGCAACAATAAGAGAAGTGGAATCACACAATATTTGTCCTTTTCTGTCTGGCTTATTCCACTGAGCATCATGTCCTCAAGGTCCATCCGTATTGTACCAAGTATCAGAATTTCTTTCCTTTAAAAAAAAAAAAAAACTTATTTAGGGACTTCCCTGGTAGTCCAGTGGCTAAGACTGCGCTCTCAATGCAGGGAGCCTGGGTTTGATCCCTGGACAGGGAACTAGATCCCACTTGCTGCAATTAAGAGTTTCCATGCCTCAACTAAAGATCCTACGTGCCAAAAGCAAGACACGGTGCAGTCAAATAAATGCTAAGAAAATAAAAATACGTATTTATATTTATTTATTGGAGCAGAGAAAGGTTTATTGCAAGGCCATGCAAGGAGACAGGTAGCTCTACCCTGAGAAGCCTCCTGCTCCTCAAAGGATTTTGGCAAAGCATTTTTACTTTATTTTTTTCCCCAAACTTTAAACTTTTTGTTTTGGGGTATAACCAATTTACATGTATTTATTTATTTGGCTGTGTTGGGTCTTAGTTTCTGCCTGTAACCCCTTAGTTGAAGCATTTGGGATCTAGTTCCCTGACAGGTATTGAACCTGGGCCCCCTCCATTTGGAGCATGGAGTCTTAGCCACTGGAGCACCAGGGAAGCCCCTTCCTTCATTTTAAAGGCTGAGACACAGTCCACTGAATGGATGAACCCTGTTAAGTTTGTCCGTTCACTCACCAATAGACTTGGCTTGCTTCCACCTTTGGGCTTTTGTGAATAATGTTGTAAACACGGGCGTGCAAATATCTGTTTGAGTCTACGCTGTCAGCTCTTTGAGGTGTCGGTCGAGAAGTGGGATCGCTGGATCACACGGTAAGCCTATGGGCTTCCCCCGTGAGAACCCGCCTGCCAGTGCAGGAAAGTCAGCAGTTGCAGGTTCAGTCCCTGGGACAGAAAGATCCCCTGGAGGAGGGCATGGCAACCCACTCCGGTCTTCTTGCCTGGAGAATCCCATGGACAGAGGAGCCTGGCGGGCTACAGTCTATGGGGTCATAAAGACTCGGACATGGCTGAAGACCCTGGGCATGCAAACGTGGAGTCTGTATTTGGTTTTTTAAGGAATCATCATACGATTGTCCACAACAGTTGTTGTCATCTTAAATTCTCAGTGTCAGGGCACAGGATGCCTATCTCCCCATCTCCTCACCAACACCTGTGAGTTTTATTTTTATTTTTGTTTTGATAGTAGCCACGCTGATGGGTATGAGGCCTGTCAGTGTCATTTTGGAGATGTCAAGATGTCTGAAGGGAGATGGTAAGGAGGCGGGTGGAGAGCCGTCATGGATGCGGAAGACTCGGCCGAGGGAGCCAGCTGCAGCCGTCCGTGGGGAAGGAATGGCCGAAGCCAGAGGTGATGTCACCGTGCGTTCACGAAATCAAAGGTTGTGTTGTTTTATATGATTTCAAATATGTGCAGTTAAATTAATGAATCATGAGCAAGTTAGCTTTTGACAATTTCATCCATACCTAAAGAAAGTATCGCAACTTTCAGGTTGTTTTTTTATTTTTGTGGGCGCCTCTGGAGACGTGGAGGAGCTTCACATGTACAATTCACAGAGGCGCAAATTTAGCGTGTGTGTGTGTGTCCGTGCGTGTGTGTTCACACTGCCTGTGTGGTTGTGGTGGTGCGTGGGGAGCACAGCGTCAGGAGCTGGGCGGTGCCCGGGGTCCGAGGGGCACCTGGGCGCTCACCAAGCTGCAGAGCAGACGCGGGGGCCTCAGAGGCGGTGCCCGGGGTCCGAGGGGCACCTGGGCGCTCACCAAGCTGCAGAGCAGACGCGGGGGCCTCAGAGGAGCTGCCGCTGGGGTCTGGTGACTGTGGAGGGTGAGGGGGCTGGGGACACGGCGGTGGGGGACGCCTGGTTCTGGCCCCAAGAACCGAGTGGCTGTGATTCCCAGGTGGGGCCGCTGGTGGGGGCCAGGTTAGGGACAAAGGAAAGTCAGTGCTGGGCTAAGCCAAGTTTGAGGCACCGAAGAGGCATGTGTGCAAACATCCACGTCCACATCGAGGGTTCTGGGTGTTGAGGTCAGAGTCCCGTGGACACCCACATCTGACCGACAAGCGGAGGAAAGGTCAGTACAGCCCAGGGTGCCCAGGAAGGGGCCCCTGGGTCCCCAGCTGCAGAGACAGGGGCCATCCCCACGCTGAGCAGGACACCCTCTGAGACGGACGACAGTGGACGAGGCTGCTGTGAGCAGGGACAGCGGCCTTCTGCCGTTTCCACGCGCTGCGCCCACGGCCCCCCACCCCCAGGCTGCCAGCTCTCATCCCTCCAAGCCAGGCCGGAAGAAAAGGGCCGGGAGTCGGCCTAAATGGGAGCCAGGAGCCCTGGCACACACTGGACCTGCTGCTTTGAATCCTGGCTGTTCTGGGCTTCATTAACGAATAGCTCAGGGGCACCCCGTCTCCCTATTCAGAAGGGACACGGCACCATGGAAACGTCCCCCAGGGCCCCAGGCAGGCCCGTCTAATGGGGCCGCCTTCCGAGCTGGGGCTCCTGGCAGGACGGGAGGTGCTGGCCAGAGGCCACGAGCTGGCGACCGAGCAGAGAAGCAAGGGCCCCTTCCTCACCCCAGCGTCCACGTTCTGGACCCAACGGCAGCTGAAAGAAACCAGGGGTTTGCGTTCCGACATTTCCTCTCTCTGTTCCTCTGGGACTTTGAGGAATCTTGTATTTAAAATCATCCTGGCGGGGGCCGGCGGGTTACCGTCAGCCCCCAGCCTCTAGCGAGGCTCAGGTGCTCCTTGGCAGACCAGGATGGGACCCCTCAAAGGGGAAGAGCTGGCAGGCGTGAAGAGAGAGTGCTGCATCTGTGTGCACACGCGCGTGTCCGTGGGTTCACGCCCGCGGGCCGCCCCTCTCCCTGGTGGGGGGCACACTCCACTCTCCTCCCACCAGCTCCCCTCAAGGCCGCCTCTCTGCTGGACCCCAGCCTCACGGAGGAGCGGGTGCAGAGGCCCGGGGCTGCGCTGAGGTCTGGCGAGCCCTGCTCTCCTCTGTTGGAGCCTCCTGAGGCCCAGCCTGCTCCTCTGAGACCACCGAGTCTCCCGAATGAATTTCTTGCCCACAGGGCACAGGGCCAGGGCGGCCTGCTCGGGAGCCAACCAGCCAGCCCCGGAAGGGCTTCAGACGAGTTCAAGGGCCCGGCAAGCCGCTGCGAGCAAGCCAAGACACACAGGCGCCCCTCGTGCTGCGATTTCCCTGCGAAATGTTGGAAAACGGTTATTTTTCTAGAAGTCAACTTTTTGAGGGGTCGTTGGCATCTGTGTGATTCCTAAGTAAATTATTCCTCCCCTGGCAAAAATTAAATAGAGTGAGGGGGAGACAACCCCCTCATTTTTACGTTGTGATGCTCACGCCCTCGCTCACGAACAATGAAAAATCCGAGGACGGGTGCCTGAGCGCGTGCACGGCAGGAAGCTGACTGCGGGGCCCCCACCCCCAAGCCTGCTCCGTGCCCAGAAGCCCAGGAGCCTCGGCGACTGCACCCCCAGCATTAAAAAGCCACAGGTCTGCAGGCAGTCCAGACAGAGACCCGCCAAACAACTTTTATTTACAGAAGCCGACACAGCGCAGAGGGAAACCCGATCCCTTCCAAAGGGTTCATGGATAAGTTACGCGTAAGGTCTGGAAACTCCTACACGCAGGTGACGACACCCCTCCCACGGAAGCCACCTGCTGGCGTCTCCCTGCGATTCCCCGACACTGTGAGACCGCAGGCCCTGGAGGCTTGCCTGGCTCTATCAGCTGCTGACAGACCCCTGGGGGCTCGGGGAGGCCCACCCCTGCCCCCTGAGTTCTGGGGCAGCAGTGGGCGGGTGTGTATGCCCACCCTCTGGTCCTCAGAACTGAGAGCGAACACAGCTTCCCAGACCACAGGAGGGATTGAACTGGTTTAGGTGGGTTCTTGCGGAATTTAAATATTCAGACCTTGAGGGTGACTGTGGCCTTCCCAGAGGGTATTTGCTTCTCAAGAAGGGGAGCTCTGCAGCTCTGGCTCTGGTCAGTCTGCGCTGCTGTCCCTCTCCCAACGCACTTGGTCTTCATGCTGGGACCAGCGCTCCGGTCTGTCTGCGGGGCGGCCTGCTGGGGCAGCGCCAGGCAGGCGGGCACTGCGGGGGGCGGCCCTCTAGCCCAGGCCCTGCTTCTGTGCTGCTCCTCAGGCCCTAGAACCTCAGCCCGAGCCCCGGGCCCTGAAAGCCCGCCGGGGGGCTTGCATTCCCAGGGGGACAGATCCGTGCGGTGTCAGAGGGCCGCAGCCTTGAGGTCAGCCGTTTACGGACGTGGCTTCAAGACTCTACATTTCCTACATCAACATTGCCGGACTCAAGGAGCACAGGCAGACAGATCTACACGTTTACAGTCCTCGGGGGCATTTTCTTGGAAAACTCAGGTTTGGGGGCTGACTTCACCCAGCTCTGCCGATGGCTGCCCTGCTGCACACGGCCTTGTCTTCAGGCCCCGGAGCATCCTGAAGGTGATCTCTCTGCTGCAGGGCTCAGAGCCTTGGGCTCCTAAGAGTAAGGACTGAAGCTGAAATGCCCGGTTTTGAGTGAGCGCTGGGGAGCAGGACCCCTGGGGACGTGCAGGCCCGGGGACACTGCCCCCACCACCTCTGGGCACCTCCTACAGGCCTCAGCTGAGCCGGCACCCAGAGGAGGAGTGGACCCAGTGGACGAAACAGGGCAGAGATCAGCCTGAATCCCCACTTGAGCAATCAGTCCAGTGGGGGAAACAGAAGGAAAACAGAATTGGCGGCTCCCAGGTCAAATAAAGAAAAAAATAACTCAAGCCTGGTCCCCAGCTGGAGTTTTCTCCAAGTGACTGTATGAACAGCACCTAAGTGGTGAAGGGGGCCGGGGGTGCCCCGAGTGACTCGGGGTGGATGGGGCTGGGTCGGGAGTTCGCCATGCACATGAGCCACAACCACACAGAGTTCGTTGGGCCACACACCTCGTCGGTGCTGGAGCCAGAAGCTTCTGACCACCGTGAGGAGGGCCCGAGGGTTTCCTGAGAGGAGGACGCGTCTGAGCCGAGCCCCCGAGGTTCAATACCTGAAGCTGTTGGGGGGTGGGGGGTACACTGGGGGTCGCCGGGGCCTAGACTGTGCCCCGTGAGCAGGCCCCTGGGTGCAGCTGAGAGCCGGCTTTGTGCCATCAGCCCTCCCTGAGCTGTGCGGCCCGCCCCGGGAGAGGGCATGGGTTTGCGGGGACGGCTGGGCAGCAGCGCTGGGTGTGGCGGGCCCATCAGCCAGGGCTGATCTCCCAGACGGGAAGCAGACCCGAGCTCCTGAAAGGCCCTCAGTCCGGGCTGTGGCCCATCGGAGCGGGGTCTGCATGCGGCGGGGGCGCAGGGCAGCCCCACAGAGAACATGGCCCCTGCCGCTGGGCTTGGGGACAGCAAGCCCCCTGCAGCAGCTGTGTGCTTCAGAAGCGGCCTTGCTGCTGCTTCTGTGACTGTAATTCGGTATTTTTTTAAGGCTTAATCCACCCGGTGACCAATCTAACCCCCAACCCCTGACTGGGGTCAGTTCCCCAAGGGGTAGGGAAGGCGGCAGAAGAAAGGCCTGTGTCAGAGTGCGAGGCACACGAGCCATCTGTGGGCCCTGATGTCGCCGGCGTCTCTGAACCTGCGTTCTGTCTCAGGACGGAGACTTTCCCCGACCGTGGGCCTGTCTCCTGCTCACTCGCTCTTCCAAGAGGCACAGCAGGCGCGTCCAGCTTGACCCGCTGGTGGGGCTGCCCCGAGGGTGATGGAGTCGCGGCGTTGGTGCCGCCCGGGTCTCGGCTACAAGGGCCCAAAGGGGCTGTGCGGACCATCTCTGCCGGCTCCCCGCGGCCCTCCAGTCTGGGGAGCAAGTCTGTGGGCTCCGAGGACCACCGCAGAGGGGCAGCCGGGGGTCGGAACGGGGCGACCCCTTCACAAAGGTAAAGGAAAGGAAAGGCCTAGGGTTCCTTCAGCAAACCAGCAAAGGGGCAAGCGAGGAGGCAGGCCAGGCCGAGGCGTCCAGCAGGCAGCGTTCTTTTCCTAACAAGATTCATTGCTCCAATCTCGGGGCCCGTCCCCTGAGCCCAGCCTCCCTGACCGGCGGCGCGGCGTGCAGGCGAGCCCGGGGCCTAGCGCGGGGAGGCGCTCTTCCTCATGGGCAGAGACGGCGCTAGCACAATCTCGTCCGAGTCGTCGGAGTTCACGTCCTCCACGGGTGTGGGCACCGTGGGCTGCAGCCCAGAGACAGGGGGCTCCGCTGTAACAGAGACGGGGGCGTCACGGCCACGCTCGGGGCTCCGGGTGGACGACCAGCCTGCTCCCCGCCGCACAGCCACCCCCCGAGACAGGGGGCTCCGCTGTAACAGAGACGGGGGCGTCACGGCCACGCTCGGGGCTCCGGGTGGACGACCAGCCTGCTCCCCGCCACACAGCCACCCCCCGAGACAGGGGGCTCCGCTGTAACAGAGACGGGGGCGTCACGGCCACGCTCGGGGCCCCGGGCAGATGACCGGCTGAAACAGAGATGGGGGGCCACCCTCGGGGCCCCGGGGCCAGAAGACCTGCCCGCTTCCCACCGCACAGCCATGACCCCATGCTCAGCGCCAGCAGGTCGGTAAGAAAGGGAGGGGGCTCAGGGCTGTGGCGGGAATTCTCCGCGAGTCGCCCTGATGGCAGAATCCAGCGGTCTGGCGGCCGGTAGCCCCAGCGTCCACGGGAGGACACACGCCCGGAGGCGGAAGGGGAGGGACTGGACGGGAGACCTGGGGACCACTGTGACCATCCACTCTTTTTCCCACATACATCTAAGCTCTCTATCCCCCAACTGAGGCGAGGTTGGGGCACCGCCTGTGGACCACCCTGCAGACCACCTCCAACCTCCATGGCCCCTGGACAGGGAGCGAGGGAGGGGCCGGGGCGCCCAGTCCCCGAGGACGGCCTTGCTCTCACTGCTCCGCAGAGTGGAATAAAAGAGGCGCCGATCCCAATCTGAGATAAAAGGGGAGGAAATTACGACCCAGCCGCTCTGCACATTGTGTGACCGGGCCAGCTTTTTCTCTGTAACTTCCAAGAAAATGATTAAACTGGAAGCTTCTGAAATTAAAAACATCAGTTTTCAAGGTTACCTTCAGTTATTTTCCTTTAAAAATACTCTTAACAATCAGATCAGAGAAGGGCTCGCTGACCAGTTTTCGCAGAGACCGCTTCCTTGTGTGAGCAGGAGGCCAGACAGAGACCTCCGGAGGCGCCCTTCAGGCAGGAGGGCGAGCGGCCGCTTCAAAATGACCCACGTTTAACGAGAGGAGAAAAAGGCAGCACGAGCAGACACTTCAGCCCTGATTGAAGACTCTAAAGGTCATCCAGCGTGGGGTCTGCTGACGTCAGAGTGAAACTGGTTTTCGGAGGAAGACGGGCAGGCATGGGGAGCTTGGTGAGTGGAGGCCTGGGAGGGAATGTCCAAGCGGGCCGTGTGCTGACTCTGACAGAGCTAGGGGCGAGACTGAACCGGACAGAGGACGGCTTCAAACATGGGGCTTCCAGGTCGGTGAGGAGGGCTTTCTTCTCTCTCCTTGCTACTCTGCCTTCAAATGGGTATATCGTTCCTTTTCTCCTTTATCTTTAGCTTCCCTTCTTTTCTCAGCTATTTGTAAGGCCTCCTCAGACACCGTTTTGCCTTTTTGCATTTCTTTTTCTTGGGGATGGTCTTGATCCCTGCCTCCTGTACAAATGTCACGAACCTCCATCCATAGTTCATCAGGCACTCTGTCTATCAGATCAAATCCCTTGAATCTATTTGTCACTTCTACTATATAATTGTAAGGGATTTGATTTAGGTCATACCTGAATGCTCTAGTGGTTTTCCCTACTTTCTTCAATTTAAGTCTGAATTTGGCAATAAGGAGTTCATGATCTGAGTCACAGTCAGCTCCCGGTCTTGTTTTTTGCTGACTGTATAGAGCTTCTCCACCTTTGGCTGCAAAGAATATAATCAGTCTGATTTCAGTGTTGACCATCTGGTGATGTCCACGCGTAGTCTTCGCGTGTGTTGCTGGAAGAGGGTGTTTGCTGTGACCAGTGGGTTCTCTTGGCAAAATTCTGTTAGCCTTTGACCTGCTTTGTTTTGTTACTCGAAGGCCAAATTTCCTGTCACTCCAGGTATCTCTTGACCTCCTACTTTTGCATTCTAGTGCCCTATAATGAAAAGGACATCTTTTTTGGGTGTTAGTTCTAGAAGGCCGTAGATTCTCTAAGCCGGCTTCAACAGTACATGAACAGTGATCTTCCAAATGTTCAAGCTGGATTTAGAAAAGGCAGAGGAACCAGAGATCAAATTCCCAACATCCATTGGATCATCGAAAAAGCAAGAGAGTTCTAGAAAAACATCTATTTCTGTTTTTTTGACTACACCAAAGCCTTTGACTGTGTGGATCATAACAGACTGTGGAAAATTTTTCAAGAGATGGGAATACCAGACCACCTGACCTTCCTCCTGAGGAATCTGTATGCAGGTCAAAAAGCAACAGTTAGAACTGGACATGGAACAACAGACTGGTTCTAAATCGGGAAAAGAGTGGGTCAAGGCTGTATATTGTCACCCTGCTTATTTAACTTATATTCAGAGTACATCATTTGAAATGTCAGGCTGGATGAAGCACAAGCTGGAATCAAGATTGCCGGGAGAAATATCAATAACCTCAGATATGTAGATGACACCACTCTTATGGCAGAAAGTGAAGAATTAAAGAGCCTCTTGATGAAAGTGAAAGAGGATAGTGAAAAAATTGGCTTAAAGTTCAACATTCAGAAAACGAAGATCATGGCATCTGGTCCCATCAGTTCATGGCAAATAGATGGCAAAACAATGGAAACAGTGACAGACTTAATTGTTTTGGGCTCCAAAATCACTGCAGATGGTGCCTGCAGCATGAAATTAAAAGACGCTTGCCCCTTGGAAGAAAAGCTATGACCAACCTAGACAGTATATTAAAAAGCAGAGACATTACTTTGCCAACAAAGGTCCGTCTAGTCAAAGCTATGGTTTTTCCAGTGGTCACGTATGAATGTGAGAGTTGGACGGTGAAGAAAGCTGAGCATCGAAGAATTGATGCTTTTGAACTGTGGTGTTGGAGAAGACTCTTGAGAGTCCTTGGACTGCAAGGAGATCCAACCAGTCCATCCTAAAGGAGATCAGTCCTGGGTGTTCATTGGAAGGACTGATGCTGAAGCTGAAACTCCAATCCTCTGGCCACCTGATTCGATGAATTGACTCACTGGAAAAGACCCTGATGCTGGGAAAGATTGAAGGCGGGAGGAGAAGGGGACAACAGAGGATGAGATGGCTGGATGGCATCACTGACTGGACACGAGTTTGAGTAAACTCCGGAGTTGGTGATGGACAGGAAGGCCTGGCGTGCTGCAGTCCATGGGGTTGCAAAGAGCTGGACACGACTGAGCGATTGACCTGAACTGAACTACTTCCAGGTCAGATGAGCCTGGAAGGCCAGGGGACTCGGCCACCGGACCCCACACTCACCGGAGCAGGGTGGCGGCCTCGGCGCTCCGTTCTCTGGAGCTGGCCCCTCGGCGGTCTCCCTGCTGCCCCCCTCGCTGTCTCCCTGCCCTGAAATGGCACGCAGACGGAGGCTCTCATCTGCACAGGCTCGTCTTCCCACCCGTCTTGTTCAGAAACGCCACTCCACTTGTAGCTTTTCCTTGACGGGAAGCACCCTTCCCCTTCCCGCACCCACCTTCCCCGACTCCATCTTTGTGATCTCAGGGCTCGGTCTTGAAAGCCCATCTTGGGAGGTTCCCACCTGCAGGCCTTGCTCACGAGCCAGGCTGAGGACCGTGCTTTTGGTCTAGTGACCACTCCAACACCCAAACACCGCCTCTGCCCATCTCTGGCCTCACGGTCCAAGCAAGGACAGACGGAGGCTCCCAGTTACAGGAGGGAAGGGCCTGGAGGACAGTCAGAATCAGTTTTGGGGCTGAAAGCGACTGGCAAGGGGTCTCGCCCCGGCCTCTGTCTCACACTGGAGGGGCTGGGCCTGCGAGGACCTGAGTGCAGAGAGGGGCAGAGCCGGGGGCAGGCGTCTCCTCGGGTGGCCACCCAGCCGGTCCAGGGGTTTCTGCACTGACAGCTGGCTGGTCTTAAGGAGGCAGAAAAGGAAACACAGTTTCACTTAAAACCAACAAACAGGAAAGACATTGGCCCAGAGGAGGGAAACCATCTCACTCTGGTTAGCTGCGGCTGCGTCGCTTCAGTCGTGTCCGACTCTGCGACCCCACAGACGGCAGCCCGCCAGGCTCCCCCGTCCCCGGGATTCTCCAGGCAAGAACACTGGAGTGGGTTGCCATTTCCTTCTCCAGTGCATGAAAGTGAAAAGTGAAAATGAAGTCGCTCAGTTGTGTCCGACTCTTAGCGACCCCATGGACTGCAGCCCACCAGGCTCCTCCGTCCATGGGATTTTCCAGGCAAGAGTACCTGAGTGGGTTGCCATTGCCTTCTCCGCACTCTGGTTAGAGCTGAGAATAAAAATCAAAGCCACGAAGCTCGGACTGCACGGCCGGCTGTCACCGACCCTGGACCAGGCTCCAGACCCAGCTTGCAGGTCGCCGCGCGTGACCAGCCCCCTGACGCGACTACGCGGCCTGGCTCCCGGGAGGCTGGCAGCTCTTTTGGCATCAACCTCAGAAGGCCAGCCGCCCTCGTGTGAAACCCAAACAAAATGCACTTACCGGGAGCGGCCGCAGGACGGGGTGGAGAGGAGGGGGCCCTGGGGGGCGGCCGGGCTGGCCTTTCGGGAACCGTGGCAGTGGTGGGTCCGGGACCAGGGGCGCTGGGGAGAGAGAGACACCTGCCAGCTCGGACCTCATGCAGGCCAGCCCCAGGCCAGCAGCTGGGGGTCCAGTGCCGCGGCCAGCACAGCTGGCTGGCACCCAGTGGGCCCAGGTCCTGAGAGGGGGGCTGCGGGGGGGCCTCAGGCGTGCCCCCCACTTCCCAGCCTGGGCCCTGACCCGAGCTCGGCCCCTGGCCTGCTGTCAATGCCACTCGGTCTGAGCCTTGCAGTGGTGGGTCCAGCAGGAAGGGAGCTGTGGACAACGGTGAGGGTGGACGCGGGGCGGCTCTGATGCCACCCACGGCTTCCTGAGCACGGCTCAGGCCACACTCTCCTCCAGGATGGGGCAGGGTCTCAGGACAGGCCGCAGCCAGTCTGCAAACCAGTGGCTCCCAGAGCCGCACGGAATCTAATGCTTCCAGTGGGAGGAAACGGTTCCAGGAAGGCCTCCTCCGGGGGCAGGAGCCTGGGGCCCCCAGCAGTGAGAGGGCCGCTCACCCTGTGCTGCCCTGGAGGGCAGCCTCCCCCGTGGTGTCCGGGCACAGGGGCCTGCAGGGGGACCAACCTGTACCTGGCTCGGGCCAGGTGTGCCCGGAAGGCAGACTGGATGATGGTGACGGCCTCCTCCTGCCACGAGTCTCCCTCGGCCTGGACAGCGGGGCTCGGGACGCGGGGCTCGGGCGAGTCCTGGGGCACGGCGACGGGGGGAGAGAACCATCTGAGATCCCGGCCCCCTCCCGCGTGGTGAGGGCTGTCATCCCCGACCCTCAGCGCAATCTGATTCAGGAGGTTCCCCTCGTTACTATCTCATCAGCATTTTCCTAACCGAGGTTAATTCTTAAGACTGTAGAGAGCCTTAAAATTAATGTCTTGTGGTTCACAGGGTTGGGGGGGTGCTCCTACCCCAGTTTAAGCCTGTTTTGACCCTGCAGTGGAGACAGTACTCCACGTCCCAGCACCTCCACACAGCTCATCCTGCTAGGTGCCCGGGGGCGGGGCCAGGGGCACATCCAGGGCAAGGCAGGATGCCGGGGCCTGGAGACAGCGCTCTTGCCCTGTTTTGTGTTTTGGATGTGGACCAATTTTAAAGTCTTTATTGAATCCGTTACAATACTGCTTCTGTTTTCCGTGTTTTGGCCACAAGGCATGGGGCGGGGGGGTCTCATTTCCCCGACCAGGGATTGAACCTGCATCCCCGGCTTTGGAAGGTGGCGTCTTAACCACAGGACCGCCAGGGAGGTCCCAGCGCCTCTCGGTGGGTGGAGTGTGAGACGAGATGGCGAGAGAGAAAGAGAGGACTCGGGTCCAAGGGCGGCCCCGAGGGTACCTGGGGGGGTGGGCTCGGCACCCTGGGGGGTTCCGAGATACACGCTCTGCTGGACAACAGCCTCGCCCGAGCTAGATGCCCCCGGAAAGCCGCCTGCAGCACGGTAGCCGCCTGGCAAGAGAAAGACAGACAGACAGAGGTCAGTTTCCCTGAAGACGGGAGGGTCCCGAAGGAGGGGCCCCGACAGCAGAGAAGACGCCTCGCTCCCTCCTGCCCTGAGGCTCCTGCTCCCTCACTCGCCAGGGGCCTCCCCCAGCCGGAAACACGCTCATGCTCCAGGGAGAGCCGGCCCAGATGCCGGATCCCCCGGTAAAGCGAATCCCGGAATACAAACGAATCGTCGGCTAACGGCTCTCCTGTTTCACCGCTGAAGTGAATCCGTACTGTACACCCAGTTATGTTTGCATGCCGAGGTAGTTATTCCATTTCGTATACTTTATTCTGTGTGCATCTTCGTGGTCAAGCAGGGTAGAGCATGACCTCACACTATCGCCAAGGGGTTACTTATCCTTTAACCTTGCCCTTGAGTGCTTTTCCCTAGGAACTTGCGGAAGCTCTGTAAGCTCTGGAACGAATGGGCTGGGTTTCAGGAGCGGTGCTGTCATTTCGAGGATCCTGCTTCTAGCCCCGGTCAGCAACAGCACAGCCCGAGGATGGGCCTGCAGCCCTTGTGAGGCTCGGGAGAGCGGCAGCCTCCGTGCCTGCGTCCCGGGCACACCCCGGCTCTCCCCTTCCCGGCGGGCTCCACTCGTGACAGCTCTGCCCGAGTGCCCTTCCTCTCCTCCTCAAGGCCCCCTGCAGGGACGCCCCGGCTGGGCAGGCAGGACCGGAGGCCCCACGGCGCGGGGGACGCGCCCTGGACCCACCTTCCAGCCTCGGCTGGCCTGCCTTACTGTCAGTGTTCCGCGGGCCCTCAGCTTGCGGATGCAGGACTGAGGTCCGCACGAAAGTGCTGAGAGAACGCTGTGAGTGAGATGGGAGCGTGAAATCACCCCGCACCGACTGGATGCTGACAGCACTCAAGTGTTTCAACTCGGTGTTGGGGTCTGGCCTGATTTCATGAAGACGGGGACCCCCCTCCCCCATACCCCATAGGCAGTGGAACCAAAGTAAAAACATATGTTTTGGAAATTGGTGAAATAAAACTTGCTTACTTCATCCACAAGAGCCCTTTCTTTCTGAAATAGAGAGAAAAGTGATGAGTTAACATGAGGGTGAGTTTCTTCACAGTGCGTGTCTGTTTCTTGACCCCACCCTTCCCCCATCCCCACCAAGGTGCCAGCCTCCCTGACTCCCTGGGAGCCAGACACGCCTGCAACAGCAAGGGCAAAGTGGGCGGCCATGGTCAGGATGCCAAATCACTGCGGAAAACGCGGCCTGGTGGGGGCGTCTGCCATGAAGTGACTCACGGGGAGCTGCTGTGACGGGGCTCTCTGAGGCTCTGGACGAGGGAGCCCCCGCAGTTAGAGCCGCCCTAGCACAGGCTGCCCTCTCTGGAGGACATGCTAACCCTAGCCCACGCAGGCTCTGGGTCCCTGGTTTCCGAGCCTCAGCAGTCTTCAGAATCTCGGGGGCAAATGTCTCAGGTGCGGCCACGGTCCTGTGGTTTGCAGCATGTCCTTACTCAGAGAAGATACACACGGAAGCCTCATAACGTCTAAAACTTACTTGCAAATGATTCTAGGAAAAAAACAGCATGTGTGGAAAATAATTATGACTAAATGTTAACTCTTGTTGAATTGAGGTGCTGGGCAAGAATCAGTACATCACTGAATACACTGACTTCTTTCAACTTGCTGTGTTTTTACACTTCGATAATAACAGTTGGGAAGAAATGACGATAAGCCTCCACTGGCCATTTTCTGGAGCTAAGAGTTTATAATGTTCAGGCAAGCGGAGAACTCTGGTTTTGCTTGTCCGGCTGGGGGAACGGGGGCTGAGCCGCGTTTCATAAACTGGGGGGCTCCTGTAGGGTGCTCCACCATCAGAGAGCCCCTGCCCTCTCCGCGGGCCAAGTGGGGGCTGAGGAGAAGACGCCCCCCAGGGCTCCAGTCTGCAGTCCAGGCTGCCCCCACTCATGGGCACCAGTGCGGGCCCACGGCCCCTCTGGCCCAGCCGCCGCCTCCCCTCCAGAGCAGCCTCTCCCTGACCCTAACAAGATGCAGTCCCGGGAGCCCTGGGGAAGGTCAGGAACACACCTGGGGGAGAGGATGTGCCTCGAGCCAGGGACCCAGCCCGCCACTGCGCCAGCCCTCCAGGGGGGTGACAGAGCCTCCAGACCTGCCACTGCCCCCCCAGCCCCCACGTGCCTCCAGGCACACCTCCCTCCCGCCCCTCCACGCCTACACTCTGCCTCCCACCAGCGGACGGACCCAGGAAGTGTCGGCGCGAGTGGGTGGAGCAGGGGCCCGGGCCGCTCACCTGGCGCTGGTAGCCCTTCCACCTGCGCTGCAGGACCCTGGCGGCCGCGTCTCTCCTCCGCTCTGAGCAGGTGGAGGGGGGCCGGGAGGAGCCCCCCTGGCTCTTGTCCGGCTCAGTGTCCGGCTGGGAGGGGCTGGCAGTGGGGCTGGGAGGCTGGGGTTCTTCCCGGGTCTGCAGGAAATTCAAGGTGAGGAGGATGAGCTCTGGGGGGGCGGGGTGGGCAGAGAAGATGCCCATCGGGTGGGCGGCAGCAGGCTACGAGAACACCGGAGACGCCTGTCAGACCAGACTCTCTAATTTAGAGGGGAAACTGTGTCCACACTGCTCAGTGGGCCAGATGACAGAAAGTCTGCAGAAACAACATCTCCACTAGTGTACAAGGTGAAACCCTACAAGCCTACGTGAGCCCTGTCAACTGGTGGGAGCGTCTCCCGTGAGGACGGGAGGCGGCTGGCCCCGTGGTATCACCAGGTGACTGGACGCCCCGTCCAGGCTCAGTGCATCCGTGCATCCGTGCACGAGTCATCTGCCTCTAGGGGGTCCTTTTACAGTCTTCCTTCTAGGGTAGTGCTACATCATGTAAGTAGGACTTTTGAGATAAAAGGCAAGATCCCTAGCTTGGTTTTTAAGGTGGAAAGAATTAAGAACTACGATCATGATCATAAAAATCACACTTATTTCTACTATTTTAGGGCCCACATTTATTATCTACAGGGACACCTCTCCGCAAACAGAAAAACACTTGGACTTTCTCACGGGAAGACTGCAGGCTCTGTGCAGACCCGGGCTTCTCAGTGGGGAAGTGGTAGGATGCACTGACCGTCGGTTAGTCCGGAAGCCCAGGACTCAATGCGCACCATTCACAGAAACCAACGGTGATGGTAAGACTGGACTGTCACCGCTGGCTTCGGGAGAAACCGCAGGTGTGGGGACAAGTGGAACCACGGCACGTCAGCTTAGGCTCCCACTGCCTCCCCGTGCTGGGCAGGAGGTGAAAACACAGGCAGCCTTACCTCGGGGGCCACCGCCACGGCCTCATCTTCCTCTTCCTTCTTCCTTCCTTCCAGTTCCCGAAACTTCCTGGTCAGCGCTTCAAGCTCCTCTCTAAGGAGAGAATGGGGAGGACCCCGTGCCTGCCGTGATGCTGTGGCAGCGTCTGCGTGTGACGGCGGGGGGCGGCCCACCGATCCACGTGGGCACCCGGCCAGCACCCAATGCCCCGGGACCATGCAGGAGACCCCCGGACCCCACGGCCACACATGGGAGGAGCTCAGGTGACCGACGACCAGGTGATAAACAGCGGGAACGGAGGGAGACACGACCCACGTCCTGGCCACAGATCTCAAAGGTAAAGTAAACACAGTTCTTCACCACACACCCGCCCATTCTGATTTAATTCTAGGCTTCTGACAAAATCTAGTCACGTTTATTCTGAAAATAATATTTTTTTGTTCCTTTCAGTAATCTGTGTCTTACTAATTATTCTGAGCACCAAATATTTCTGCTTGGATTTCTAATCTACTTTTGGGGGCCTTTGGTATTGAGATAAACTCACTTCTTTAAAGTACGCAGTTAAGTGGTTTTTCAGTCACAATGTTGTGCAAACGTCATCACTGCCTAATTACAGGACATTTCCGGCCTCTAGAAAGGAGCCCTTTCACCTGCCCGCCACTCCCCCACCCCCCATCCGACCCCCCAGCAACCAGCATCCGCTGTCTTCTCAAGGAATCCACCCACTCTGGGTATTTCCGAATCAGTCTGTCTGAAAGCGACTCTGCCTGCCTCTTTCGCGGGCATGACAGTTCTGAGGCTGGCCCATGTTACAGCCGGGGTCGGGCCTCATTCCTCTCTAAGGATGTACTTCAGTGTTTTAATCTGATGGACATTTGCCTCGTTTCCACTTTTTGTCTCCTGGGTCTTATCCTGACCAGGGTGTGGAATCTGGGCATGTTCTGAGGCTGCCCAGGAGGATGTGCTGGAGGAGAGGGGTCGTGATGCCCAAGAGCCAACACTGGCCTGACTGTGAGGGGCCTCTCCCTGGAGGCAGCAGCAAGGCCATGAAAGACGGCAGGAGAGCCGTGTGATCAGGCTGCAGCGTCCCGAGAGCCGCTCTGGGCCAGGGGCAGTGGGGCAGGGCGGGGGCGTGCCTCGGGGGCAGGCAGGGACGGCCTGGCACCTGTGGCTTCCTGACCCTCGTCCGCTCACCTCAACACCTTCTCTCTCTCTCTTCTCTCCCTCTCTCTCTCCTTCACGCTTTCCAGCTCCTTCTCCAGCTCAGCCTTCGTTTGCAGCAGCTGCTTCACCTCCAAACTGAATGAGGAACCAGAGACATCTCAGCGTCATCGAAAGAGAGGTTCACAGAGACAGGGTCATCGGGGCAGGGGGAGCGCTCAGGAAAACCAGCGGGTCCAGCCTCCTCATTTCTGCGGAGACGAGGATGCAGACAGGCCCTTCCGTGTGAGGAGCCGCCCGGGCCTCCTCCGCTCAGCTCTTCAGCCGGCGCCCGCCTGTGCCAGCGGCGGTCGGGAGCAGGGCGGCCGGATGAGGCGCAGGCCCTGCTCTCGCCGGCGGGCGTCACCAACCCGGGGACAGGTCTCAACTAGCGGTCACACTGTTCGGTGACAGACCTGTACTGAGACGAGGGCTCCCGGGACTGGCAGTGGACTCGACGGAGGTGCAGCCTGAGCCAGGGACAGGGGGTCCCCCCGGCATTTCCCCCAAAGCTCTCACGTGCCCCACAGGTGACACGTGGCCAAGAACGTGGCTTCAAAACGTTCCACTGCCCACTGAGGTGGTGACCTCACACAGATGAGATACACGCATGGGTCACATCGTAAGGGCCCAGTGAGTAGAAGCTACTATCATGTCATGTGATGGCTGAGATCATCAGAGATGCTCTTCCTGTGCAAAAGAAAGTGAAAGTCGCTCAGTCGTGCCAGACTCTTTGCGACCCCGTGGACTATAAGGTCCATAGAATTCTCCAGGCCAGAGTACTGGAGTGGGTAGCTGTTCCCTTCTCCAGGGGATCTTCCCAACCCAGGGATCGAACCCAGATCTCCTGCATTGCAGGCGGATTCTTTACCAGCTGAGCCATAAGCAAAATGGCTCCCAATGTTCATAAAGAACCTAGCACATGGATGCACTGTTAGACTTCCGCTGCAGGTGAAATGATTTGCCTTCTGCTGTTAACGGAAGACAAACGTGCACGTGAATCGGGTGTGGCAAGGGGGGCGTCTCAGTAGACAAAGCCGGGTTCAGGAGATCTGGGCGGGGTATGAGGGTCTCCACCTCTACGCGGCCCTGTGTAACGCTGGCTCCCCGGCCGGGCTCTGAGCAGCAGGGCCTGAGAAACAGCGCCTCAGACCTGCAGCCGGAGAAGCCACAGGGGAACGGGAGGAGACAGGCGTGTCTTCTGTGGGTTACAGACCCAGACGCGAGAGAGCAAAGAGGAAATAAGCCCGACCTCGAGGCTCCGCCATCCACACGCTCACAGTCGCTCTGACAACTCCGTGCTCCTCAGCACCAGGGTCTTTTCTGATGCATGGATTAGACGTCATGAGCAGAGCACGGAATCTTTAAACCCTTGTGCGTGAGCTCTGACGGAGGGCAGACATTTTACACAGACCAGTGAAAGTAAGTTCTTCTCTAAGAAAGAATTTGGAAAGCCCTCTGGAATTTTGTGTAAGATTTCAATGGCACTGCCCACGCGCTTGATGATGTAATAGGCCAGTGAGTGTCTCCTTGTACCACCGAAGCTGTCCTCGCCGCATGGGTGAACCGTCAGAAGTTTAATAACCACATACAAAGGCCTGTGTGACGGCTGCTACGCGCTGCGCCTCGCCAGACCCAGGAGCAGCTCCGCTGCAGTGACTGCACGTGTCAGTGGGCGTGGCCCCCCCCGGCCCCCCCCACCTCCCCCAGGAGGTGCAGTACCCCCGCCCTGCCCCGCCCCGCCCGGAGGGGGCCACCTACTCTCTCTCCTGCAGCTGGGTGTGCAGGGCGTTGCGCTCGCCCTTCAGGCTCTGCACCGCTCCACGCAGACGCTCGCTCTCCTGCAGGTGCAACGTGGGGCTGGATGCCGAGGGGGTCAGGGAGGTTGACCTCACTCCCTCTGAAGCCTGGGGCTTGGGGCTTTCCATCGAACTGAGTTTCTGGAGGTGACACAGGCATCTGTTAGATGTTATTTCTGATTTTTACTTTCCTAGAAAAGAGAGAACGGCCAGAGAGAACCTCCTCCCAGCGAGGGGGTGGGAAAAGCTCTGCATGTGACCAGAGAAGCCTGGGAATGCTGCCTGGGGACAGGGCAGCTCCGGAGTCCTGGGGGTGATGGCAGGGAGTGGCCTCCCCACCCCGTCACTCTCCCCCTCCGGAGTGGGAAGCGCGCAGACCCAGCCGGCTCGGGGCGGGCGCTGTAGCAGCTGGAGAAGGGGAGCCCAGTCTGCCCCTCCCCGCGCTCGCCTGCCCACTGTCCCCGGGACGTCTGCAAGGTTCTGTCCCAGGCTGTTGCCTGGGAAGTGCTGCGGCGTGCTCTGTGACCACGCCTTGCTGCCTGTGACCTGGGGACAGGCTTGACACGGCCAGGCGTCTCATCTAGACCCTAAGAGTCTGTTCTGGCCAGCTCATCCTGTGCGCAGCCGTCCCTGGGCACAGACGGCCCCCGCTATGTCCCAGGAGCGAGGCTCCTTCCGCCCGCTTCCTGGGAGCTGCTCCCTCGCACAGGCAGAGCCGGGCAGGGCCGGGCAGGTAGGGGCCCACCACTCACTTTCTCCAGCTCTGCGATCCGCCGGACCAGCCGGGGCTTGCTCCAGTCCGCGTAGCCTGCTGGGACAACGGGATTTGAGGGACACACCTCCACAGCCGTCGGACGGGCCCCTTCGGCCGGGACCTCCTGGCTGGGGCATGGCCAGTCGGCTCCCCTCCGGGGGGCCCCTAGTCCAGGACCCCTGGTTCCCCGCGCAGCTCTGCGGTGACTGCTGCTCCTTTCAGCTCCCCCGTGCGACCTCTCCCGACTCCCCCACCCGCCGGGACGGCCCTGCTCCGGCTCACCATCGGGCCCGCGGCCGATCCCAAGCCCACTTGGGCCCTCGTCCTCCGGGGCCCCTCCACCCGGCTCTGCGGGCGCTCGGTGCCCACTACCCACCCAGAGGCTCCGCTCCCCCCGCCCCTGCTCGTGGGCTGGGCATCTGTCCCCTGACCTGGTAAGTCCCGGGTTCAATTCTCCCTCCGGGGCCCTGCCCTGACTCACCCGTGTGCCTGACCCCCATTGGGCCCCCGACCACAGCCGCAGCCTCCCTCCGTGTGCCCCTCTGTCCTGCTCAGACCAAGGCCATGACCCTGACCCCCCTCTGCCCACACAGGCTGCAGCCAGTCCTCACGTGCACGTGGAACGCGGCCACCTCCCGCCACCGCGGGGCCCCCGGGCCAGGCCCCCAGCAGCCCCAAGAGGACCCTGAGGAGTTCTGTCCTCGCGGCCCCCTTTCCTGTGTGGCCTCCACTCAGCACAGGAGCGGGGCGTCCTCTCCCCTCCCCGCAAACCTGCTGCCCTCTGGGTGGCCTTCAAGGCCGTGTCCTCCGTCAGACCCCGCTTCCAGGGGCTGGGCTTGCTGGCTGCCTCACACTGCCAGGCCCACTCGGGGCTCTGTGCCCACTGCCCAGAGGGCCCCTCCCGGCCGTGGGCATGGCTGCCCCCAGGCCCCTCATCTGCCCCTTCCCCAGCGCTATTACCATGGGCCGGCCCTCCCTCCCCTGCACGCGCCTCCACGGCTCTACCCGGGGTCCAGGACCACGCTTGGCGCATGGCAGGCTGGTGACACGGGGCAGCGCTGCCCAGTGGGGTGGCCAGGCAGGGGGACAGGCCCAGCCTCTCCCGCGGCCCCCACCCCGCGCCCGGGCCCCCTCCCGCGTGCCCTGACCCCAGGGCCCGGACAGGTACCCGTGATCTTGGAGGTGGTGGGGGAGCTGCTGAGCACGCGGTCCAGGTCCTCCTTCAGGCTCTGGTTCTCCTCCATGAGCTCCTGGACGCTCCGGGACAAGCTCAGCAGGGCACTGCCCATTTTCTTCTGCCTTTTAAGGCCCATTTTCTTCTCCGCCGGAGGCCTAGGAGCAACCAGACCCAGCGGGTAAGGCTCGGGTCCTGAGCTGGCCTAAAGCACATCCCGAGTGAGGGGCAGGCGCATGGCGGCCTGGGTGCTCAGGGTGTCCTGAGCATGATGTGTGCAGTTCACGGCGAAGGCTGACTGCGAACCCCAGGCCAGCGGACTGTCACCCTGGACAGACGTCCACTCTTCTCACGGGCACGCCTGTGTAACAAGGACCGTGTCCAGCCGTCAGCGACAGAGCAGCGTCACCAGAAGCGCCGTGGAGGGTCCCCGTCCCTCCTGCTCCGTCAGGCCTGTCCTTAGACGGCTGTTCTGATCGCGCCTCTGCCTCGATAAAGTCCAAAGCACGGTCGATGCCGGGTGGTTACAGACTCCTCATTTGCAAAGTTGTCTGCTCGTTGAATTGTCTCTGTGAGACCCGGGCCGACGCCTGCAGTATCTCGTGGTCCCCCCTGGCCACCCAGGGCGGAGGGGAGGAGGCTCTGCGTCTCAGGGAGCCCGCTCCCGGCAGGACAGGCGCAGCCGGCGTCTGCTCTCAGCGGGGTGGACCACAGGCTCTTCCACTTTTCGGGCTGACTTCACCACTTTCCCTGGCCCCCCGCAGCAGAGTCCATCATCGAGAGGAGCTGAGACGCGGCTCCGAGGGGGACCGCCTGTGCCAGGTCTTTGCTCAGGCTCGAGCCATGGTGTGGCGGGTAGAGGTCTCAGGGCTCGTGAGCTAAGAGCAGGCACTAGGTGAGGCGCCTTTAGACAGAAACTCGGGGAGGCGGGCTGCGTGCTGGCCGGCTGATGGGAAAGCTGACCAGAGGTGTCGGGATGGAGCCCGTGCTTCCCCAGGGGTGGCAGGCTGTCACTCGCCAGTTCAGGCCCGAGGGCACATTACAGAACATAACGCCTGTAAGTCCTCTGGCCCCCTCTCCTGCCTCCCTTTAAGCTACTGGGGGAAGAAAAAGGGAAGACTGAGCCCGCACATTGTGAAGGTTTAACTGTTGTTGCTGTTGTTTAGTCGCTCCGTTGCGTCTGACTCTTTGCGACCCCGTGGACTGTAGCCCGCCAGGCTCCTCCGTCCAAGGGGTTCTCCAGCAAGAACGCTGGAGCGGGTTGCCATGCCCTCCTCCAGGGGACCTTCCCGACCCAGGGATCAAACGCACATCTCCTGCATTGGCAGGCGGGTTCTCTACTACTGAGCCACCTGGGAAGCCCAGAAGGTCAGTAACTGTCAGTAATTCACGGCGGAGGCCGGTGACATGACTGAATCTGTGACAAGGGACCCCTCCTTCCCTGACCTGCTGAAAGCCTGACATCATCGGGGACGGGACAGGGGGAAGACGTATGTGGTGAGGAAACTCCCCGTCTCTCCCAGTAAACATACTTGGCAAGACGAACCTGGACTCGGTCCTAAATGTCTTCCTAAAAGGAAGATCTGCTTTGAGAAAGTGTTTTCTGCTTCTAAGCTGGAAGCTGTGAGGCAGGACCACCAGTGGAAGCCCAGAGCACCGACCATGCTGCCAGGGGTCAGAGGTGGCAACTGTGAGGGGGCATCCGGACACCCACAGGGAGGGAACACGAGCGCTCGGAGCTCGAGCGGCAGCTAGAAGCCCCAGGCCCAGGGTGGGGTCCACGCTCCCCAGGAGCGCCCCTACTCTGCCAGCCGCTGAACACACAGACAGCGCGCAGAGCCGGGCTCCCAGACAGACGGACAGACAGAGGGTCGCACCTCTTCCCTGTTGTCTCGGAGCTTGCGAGGAGACCATGGAGACGGTGAATCTGCAAACACCAAGTTAAAACGCGGTTAACACCAACCGAGTACCAAGGAGACCGTCCTCTGAAAAAGCGAGTCTCCGTGTCAGCCCGGCGGCGGGAGTTAGCACTAAGTTGCTGATTCATGTTCCGGTCAAGACGAGCTGGAAGGGGAGGGTCCCACTGCCCGCGCCCCCCAGCCCTGAGCCCAGCCCCTGCCCGGGCAGGGGGACACGCACCTCCTCGCAGTACGTCTCCATGGCGATCCGCATCTCCTCCAGACTCGTGGTCTTCACGTCAGTCTGCAGTTTGCTGAGAACACAAGGTCGGAGTTACTGTGGCAGTGTTATCGTCGCTGGGCAGTGCCCGACGAGGGGGAGGGAAAGCCGCTCAGTCCTGTCCGACTCTGTGACCCCACGGACTGTGCAGTCCATGGGATTCTCCGGGCCAGAGTACTGGAGGGGGCCTTTCCCTTCTTCAGAGGATCTTCCCGACCCAGGTCTCCCACCTTGTAGACAGACTCCTTCCCAGCTGAGACGCCAGGGGACCCCAAGAATACTGGAGTGGGTAGCCGATGATCTTCCCGACCCAGGGATCGAACCGGAGTCTCCTGCATTGCAGACAGATTCTGTACCAGCTGAGCTACTGGGGAAGTGTGAGGGGCCTTCAGCCGGTGGGTGGCTTGCCTGAGACCCACCAGAGGACTGTCACGCCCACAGGCCCTTCCGGCTGGACCAGCCACCCTCCAGCGTGAGGTAAAAGGCCTCCCTCCGGGGGATATTCTTTGCTAACAAGACCCTGTCTCTAAAAACTGGAGTAATTGTGAAGAAAGACCTCAGGGTTAGAAAGGACAAGAGGTCTTTGGGGAAGGTGGGGGAATGGTTATTTTTTAAAGGAAAGAGAACCATTTTTTTTTCTCCTTGTACTGTCCATATAATTCTCCTCATTCTCAACACTTAACAGACTCCAGAAAAAAGGCTCTAAAGAGAAATGAAGGTAAAGTTACTAATACAGTTTAGGATTCTGAAACAGAATAAATCAGCAAATAATAAAGTCTTTTTAAAGCTGATGAGTCCAGTGAGAAACAAAGGAAGACGGGATCTATTATATAAAGAGGATACGCGGGGCAACAGAAAATGAAAACTCAGGTTTCCTTAAATAAACTCACACACACCAGGAAAGCCTCCCCTCTGGGATAAAAGAGCAGGAAAGAAATCTACAGCTGCTCTGAAAACAGCACAGGGCCGTGCGTGATGAGAGGCAGCCTGGGGAGGTGTCCAGGCAGTAAGAGCTTGTCTCTAGTCCACGAAGTCAACACTGGAGATAAGACGAGATCACAGGAGGTGAAGGAGAGAAGGCGCGTCTTCAAAGAATCGGGAGCGAGAAGAGAGGGGAGGAGAACACTGCTCCTCCGTGGTGTCTGGAAGAGGCCACTGCTCAAGCTTTGGTGGCAAGTGAGGCCGGGGCGTGGGCAGGGGAGGGGCGGGACAGCAGGCGCGGACGCCGGGCTGGGAGCAGGGCCCCCGCCCCCCAGGCCGCGTACTTGATCGTGCTCTGCTTCTCCTTGCACTGCTGCTCCAGCTTGAGGACCCTCTGCTTCAGCCCGCTGATCACCTGCCGGGGGACCACGCCCGTCAAGCTGACCGAGGGGGACCACACCCTGGCCTCCAGGGCCGCAGCCTCCCCCACCCCGCCGTGCCGGCCTGGGGGCGGGGTCCCCTGCCCACTCCCTGGGAGTGTCTGCACAGCCTCCCGCCAGGGCGCGTTCCTGCCGAGCTGTACCCTCCATCGATCACCGGCGTCTCTTCTAGTCTCCAAGCAGGGCGGCAGGGGGGCGGGGGACAGGTGCTCCCTCCACAGAGGGACACCGCACCGCCTCAGTCACCAGGCATGGACGCCCCAAGCCCAGCGGCCCAGGGCAGCCCCACCCCCAGCACGCGTCCTCAGGCAGCTGGACTGGGGTCCTGGGGAGGCCTCTCCGCCTCAGCGCTTCCTGCCCTCTGCTCACACGGCGCTTTGGGAGATGACACCCTGCGCTCCCGAAAGGACGTGCCTTTCTTTTTGAAGAGTCAAACATGTTTCAACTGGATTTTAAGGTGAGTTTTAGTTACACTACCAATACATGGGCACATTTACCCTTTGAGCTTACGCCTGTCAACTTACTATCGTTACCAGCATAACGTGTACTCACTCTCCAGACCTCATTACGCACATGCACACGCGTATGCACACCACTTGCAATGGTGGTGTTTCGCTGTTGTTTACATCAATGGTAAGCCCATGCATACCATTCTGCAAACTGCTTCTCACTTTACAAACCGTCGTGGAGACCTAACCCCACTCGTTCCTACAGATCTGCATCATTCCTCCAAGGTATGAACGTACAGCGGTTACCTGTTCTGCTGATGGACACTGAGTTCGTAACCCACTATCGCTCTCACAGAAACCCCAGCCAGCCCTCCTCGTGCACACGGGCAGGTGCTTCTGGAGGGCAGACAATTCGAGCAGAAACGTTCAGCCACAGCCACTTTGAAGGGTGATTTGGCAAAGGGCAGCAGAACGAAAGTGGCACATATCTATGATCTAGAATTTCTACTTTTAATCAACTTTAATTAAAAAAGAAAAAAAAAACCCAGAATTATCTGGCAGTCCAGTGGTTAGGACGTGATGCTTCCACTGCAAGGGACACAGGTTCAATCGCTGGTCAGGGAACTAACATCCCACAAGCCTCAAGGTGCAATAAAAAAAAAAAAAATTCTGAGGATCAAAACAGGATGCTAATTTGAATGACTCCTCCTCAATCTCCCCTCCCAAACTGGGCAGCTGGAAATATCCTTGTGCAAACAGCCTTTTGTACTGGATTTTTTTTCTCAAGACATAATCCTAAAGAGAGCATCATTAGGACATCCCTGACAGTCCGGTGACTAAGACTCTGTGCTCTCAATGCAGGGGGCACCGGTTCGATCCCTGGTTGGGGAACTAAGATCCCACATGCTGCCCGGCATGGCCAAAAAAAAAAAAAAAAAAACACGAGCATCACTAGACAAGTGGTGAGCGCAGTGTTACAAACGGTGGCTGGCACGGTCACACGGCCCCAGCCTTCAAAGCCTACGGTCACTCACCACGAACCCAATTTGGGACAAATCTCTTAACATTAGTTTCCTGATTTTAAACCTGGGGACTGAGGTTCCAACTGCAAAAAGATCAGCGAGATTCTGTGATGTGCAAACTGTACAGTGCTTGATGAGTTGCCGTCATGCACGTGAGCGTTTCCTCTGCGCTGTCCCAGGCAGAGAGCCATGAGCGTCGTCTGCTCACTGCACGATGCTTCCTTTCTTTAGACACGGGTGTAGATTCTTTGCATCTTCTGGATAAAAACTGTTTTACTTATCAGTCATGCCCCACCCCCACCATCCATTATACGGATCCATTTTCAATTGTAGTCGTGTGGGTTTCCACTATAAAATTTAAGTTTATGTTATCAAACCCATTAGTCACATCATGACTGTGATTTTCTGCTCAGGAATCTCAGAAGCGAATTGCATCTCAGACTTTTTAAACGTTCTTCCTTGACTCATGCGAAGTTTACTGTGACTCATCTTCTCTGACTGTGTTCATTCCCACAGCATTACCCACGTAGTGGCTCCATTTTGCCTAACTCTGTTTTGTCCGGTGGGTTAAGTGTTGTCACAGGCCCTAGCTCTGCTCCTGCTTTGATTCCTTCTTAAATCAGCGCCGTGGGTTGGGCCCGAGGTGTCCTCTGAGGTCTGGCGGGGCGAGTCCCCGCCGTGACCGCCTTCTCCTGCTGTGCATTTGTGCCCTTGCAGTCAGCCTGCTCAGCCCGCCTCCTGCTCCCACTAAGAGCCCCCGCGCTGTTGTCGTTTAAGCCCCACCGCTCCACGGAGGAGGGTTTTAGAAAGGCCTCCCGCGCGCCTGTCACTCCTGCTCTGAGGCCTCAGAGAGAAGGCACGTCTCTAAAGGCTGTTTTGAAGATAAGATTTCAGCAGACAGTTGAGCTGCGCTGCTGGAGATTATACTCACCCAGCCAGTATCAGGCCTTTTGTCTGCCAGAGTCCGAACAAAATCCGGGCCCTGTGGTAAGCAGATTGGGAGATGAAGACAAGGTGTGCTGGGCCTCCCCCGCCGGGGATGCCTGCATCCGGCACCACGTCCGGGGCCCCGCACTTACTCGGGACGCGTCCAGAAGCTGCTCAATCTGCCGGTCCTTTCTGCTGTTTTCCTCTTCGAGGCGCCGAAGCTTCGTTCTCATCAGATCCACATCACTCTTTTGCATGTTTAACGACTGAAGGAAAGAAGGACCACACACACACACATACACACACACACACACCGCGCACAGACATCCGGGTGAAACACGCAGATGGAGAGGAGCGTTAAAAGCTGTCTGGCTCCCGAGCAGGGCGCTGTGTGCGCAGAGGGTGAGGACGGTCTGAACGTTACCATGGACGTTACTGGGGCTGGGGGGCAGACCCCCCTTTAGGTGCAGGGCGACCCAGGCAACCAGGAACCCCGCCCCCTAGAATGCCAACAGCGCCCCTGCCGCAGACGAACGCTGCTCCACAAATGACGCGGCCGGTGACAGCTCTGCGGGCGCCGTGGGAGTGGTCTTCACGTCACAAACTGTCACAGGCTAACGTCTACTCAAGACTCATCCTCACCTAAGGCTCAGCTGGCCAGAGCGCCGGTGCCCACACGTTTATCTGTGGGTGGATTTCCCACCCATCTGCAGTGAATTTAGAAGGAAGACTATCAGTTTTTCATAAAACTAAGTTTATTCACTTTTTACAACTATCCTGTATTTTGAAATGATGTCCTTCCTATTACGCCAGACACGTGTGGCCCTTTGAGGCAACGCTCACGGGAGGGGACTTCTAACAGCCTCACTTGAGGAAACTTTCTCCTGGTCTGTGGAACCCCATGGCCAGGAAAGTGTCAGGTTAAGTTAGCGCGTGTGAGCCTCGTCCAGAAATGCCTACGGGGTCAGCCAGCGCTGGAGCTGACGGGCTTCCAGCACAGCCTGCACCTGAATTAGCCAGTCGTCTCGGAGACGTCCTGTCAAGGGGCTCGCAGTGTTCAGCACAGAGTCTGAGCGTCAGAACAGACCCGGCCCAGCTGCTGGAGAGACAGTCGGGCGTCCGCCCACTGCGGGCAGCCGGGAAAGCTGGCCAGCGGCTGCAGCCGGCGGGAGAGATGCCTGGCCCTCGGGGCCCGTTTCGTGAATTAGTCAGTTAACGCCCAGTCACTGGGAAGGACGAGAAACCCGATAACAGGAATTCTGCTCCCGGGATACCCACCCTGCTCAGCACAGCTAAGACCCCTGCACTGAAGCCCTCTCGTGGGTTACTGCCTCGAACCTTCACAACACCCCATGAAGCTGCACTTACGACCCTCCCCATTTCCAACAGGCAACTGAGAGTCGCTTGCCAGAGGAAAACCACCGCGTGCCCCTGCCCCCAGGGCAGCGGACTGCTAAAGATAAACCCTCCGCCTGGAAGGGAAGAGGAGGCCTGAGCACTTGGAATAAGGCAGTGTGATTCCACACAGGAGGAACCCAAGCAGCGCTTCTGGGCCCAAGAAGGCTCCCCCCGTGTCGCCACGAGGACTCAGGGCTCTCAGTAACCTCCCCGGGTGAGGACTCTGCAGCTCCCACAGGAGGGCTGCCGTGTATGGGGACCCTCGCCCGGCGCCCCTTGGACAAGGTGGCTTCCAGGCTCGCGTGTGCTCTGGGCACGCCGGCCGCCAACACCCCGCTTGGCCTCGTGCCGGACAGGTCCTGGCTTTACTGGCGGTGGGGGCGGGGGCGGCAGACTGTGAACAGGCATCACGGACGGGAAGCGGCCCCCAAGTCTCCGGGCGGCACCAGGAGCCGTGCGGTGCACAGAGACGGCCGAGGCGTAGGGGGGACGAGATGGGGAGGAGGACACCGCACATCTCGGGAGAGGCAGCGTGGGTTATGCAAACGGAGCCGCAGCCCCGGGAGGCAGATGACCTTGATGAACTTTCTGGTTCTGCTACTGGTAAACCCTGGATAGACTACGAAGCTCTGTGAGCCTCAAGGCCATCACCTCTTTTACCGGGCGCGTGCAGAGACAGAGCCACTGAAAGCAGGCCCGTGAAATGCCATGAATGCCAAAGGAAAACGCAAACGGGAAGTTACTGATCACAATAACAGCCAAAGACTCATCCTCAAGCCAGGGCTCAGGGCACAAAGGGCCCTGAGCTAACCTCGTCCCCCAGGGAGATGCGGAGCTCTCTGGCTGACTGCTGTCCAGGCCTCTTCGCCACTGGCGGGTGGCCCTCCGGGAGCCAGAATCTCCCAGAGGCTCAGGCGCCAGGCCAGGGCTTAAACTCGGTGTCCCTCTACAACCCCTGCTCTTCCCATGGGACACACCCCGGCTCAGGTGCCGCCCCTGCCCTCGTTACCAAGGGCTCTCCCCGCTTAACAGCCGCAGAGGACGGGTGGGAACTCTACCTTCTTCAGCTCAATGATCTCGTCATACATGTCCTCCTTCTCTCGGTAGATGAGGGTCCCCGGAACGTAACCTGCAGGGAAACACACAGCCTGTGAAAAGAAGAAGGAACGCTAGACTATACCTTAAGGGAAACCTGGAGGTTAATAAAATTATCCTTTTTTTAAAAAAAAAAAGAATAAAAAAGAGCAAATATATTTCAACATTTTTAACCTGATCATGGTCTTTCCCCAGAAGTAAGAAAACCCAAACAGGTGTTGATCTGGAAAGAAGCAGCAAAAGAAAACCATAAGCACAGGACTTATTTACACTCAGGATTAAAGGAGAGCTGTTGTTGCTAAGTCGCTAAGTCGTGTCCAGCTCTTTTGCGATCCCAAGGACTGTAGCCCGCCAGGCTCCTCTGTCCATGGGATTCTCCAAGTGAGAATACTGGAGTGGGCCGCCATGCCCTCCTCCAGGGGATCTTCCTGGTCGAACCTGGGCCTCCCGTGCTGGCAGGCAGGCTCTCTACCACTGAGCCACCAGGGCAGCCCATGTGTTCATCTACAAAAGGATCAAAGGAGGGAGTCGGAAAGAAAAGCCATGTCTTTAGACGTGACGCAGCAAACAGTCAAAAACACACACAGTCACATCACCGTGCGGACACTCTGCCCGCCCGGCGTCCGACGCTGCACCGGGCCCGCTGCTCTCTGGTTCAGTGTGGTCCCGGGACTCTAAAGCACGTAAGCCTGGAACGGCAATGCCGGCCGGCAGAGCTGCGGGGACCATCCCAGGCGCCGGGACAAGGCTTCTCGGGGCTTCCCACGGGGCCGACGGGAAGGCAGGGGGTGCTGGGGAGGCGGCGTGTGGACTCGGGCCGGGCAGGAAGACAGGAACAGGACACCAGCCCACCCTTCTCTGTGAGATTTGGGCTGTCTGTCATCCCTGCAGCTTTCGTCTCTAAGATGGTTTATACAACCCGTTTCGTTACGACTCCAGGGAGGCAGGCACCACGGAAGCCGGGGACGACATCTCCCTCCACAGCAGGAGAGCCACCCTCCAGGAGGCAGCAGGGACCGTCAGGGTCGCTGTCCTCAGGACACTCGGCGGACGCCTGCCGGGGGGCCCAGCCCTCACTCTGCAGAGCACCCCAGTCCCCACGCCCAGCCTCGCAGCCGTCCTCAGCCGCGGCCATGTCACCGCGGCGCGCTCACCGTGGCTGGCAGAACGCCTGAGGTTTGACCTCTTCATTCTCAAGGCTTCGGTCACAAAGTCGGGGGCGCTGCTGGGGGGGTGGGTCCAGGCACGCTCCAAGGTGAGGTCTGAAGTCAGGGCTGGGGTCAGACTGCCTGGTTTGAACGTGCATGGTTTTAACGCGACAGGTGTGAGCAGACACAACGGACGGCCCTGCCTCTAGTAACCAGGCTCGGGGGGTTGAAGGAAGCTCCCCGGACCCGTGGGGTATGAGCAATGTTCAGCCACCGGTGCCAGGATCAGCAAAGCCCTCCCTGCGGCTCCTGCCCACTTCCAGGCTGTGCGTGTGCCCAGCACATCCCCTTCCAAGCTGCCGGTGTGAACTCGACCGGCTCACATGGCTCCCAAAGCTGGGAGGAGCCGCTCTGACCCACCACTGCCAGCCCCGCTCAGACAGGCCGAGACCCGCAGAGCAAACGTCGTGGCCACACACACTTGGGAGTAAAAGCCTCAAGGCGCCACGTCCTTGAGAAGGTCAGAAACGGTGTCATTCAAACAAGGCGTATTCAAAGCTCTGTGTCGTCAGCACCTGTGACATCCCAGGCGCTGCTCGTGAGCAGGAGGGGTCTATTTCCGAGGGGCGACTGCGTACCTTGCTTGGAGCTTCCCAGACACAGCTTCTGGGGGGTTAAGGACATCCGGCCCCCGAGAGGCATGCTCGCTGCGGTCCTCAGAGATCTCCAGGAGGCCACCTTCCTCGGCTTAGAGTGATAAGGTGACTCTAGAAAGACAGCATACGGTTTTAGGGGTGCAGAACACCGTGCTCCCCACACATCTGTGCTTCAGAAAGACAAAGTATTCACAACCGCCCAGATGAACACATTCTGGCAAAAATACAAAATACGGTTATGTTTATATACTCACATTTGTTTATTAAATTTTATTGTAAAGAAGTAACTGGAATTGATTTTAAAATATGAACCTAAAGTTGTACGCATATTACAGTATTTAATTTCCCATCCCCCCCCAGGGCATTTTTTATTTTGTCACCAAAACAAAGGAAAGGTTTTAAAATTATATTTTAATCTGGAATTTTGCTTCTTCATGTAAAATATAGAGATTGTGCAAATTTATGCAAAACCAAGTTGTTCATAAACCATGCTTATATTTCTTAAATACCAAAGCAATTTATATCTATAGAAGGTCCTGAGATTCTAAATCTAATACATTTAGTTTTTAAGATTTTTAATATTTTTCCATGGCTTCAGAATTTATGGAAAATTCCCCTTTAACATTTAGGATGTGGGAATAAAGACACATTGGGCCCTGAGAGTTTCCACTCACCCAGGACCACCGTGCTCACTCCCAAGGTATTCGGAAGGCCTTCCATTTATGCAGGTATATTAGTGATCAGAAAAAAACCCCACACACGACATTTCCCTCCTAACTGTATGAGGTTTATCAATAAATAGTGAGAATTCCACAATATGCATGCCCGTGGATAAAACTGCGAAGAAGAGGGACTCAGCTGGTGGAGACCCTGCAGGTGGCCGACGCTGCGGAAGCAGTGATCGGGGAGGGGCCGAGAACCTCGCCTCCTGGGAGCAGGGTGGGGACTGAGAACCTCAGCACACGGGGAGCTACGAACGCCATGGACCCGGAGGGGGCAGCTGCTGCTCGGTCGCCAAGTCGTGTCCGACTCTGAGACCCCATGGACTGTAGCCTGCCAGGCTTCCCTCTCCTGGAGTTTGCTCAAATTCATGTCCACTGAGTTGGTGATGCTAACCATCTCATCTTCTGCCACCCCCTTCTCCACCTGCCCTCAACCTTTCCCAGCATCTGGTCTTTGCCCATGAGTGGGCTCTTGGTATCTTGGTATCAGATGGCCGGTACTGGGCAGCAGAGACACATTTATGAAGTGAGCAGGACAGCCCGGATTCCTGCTGTTGTGGCTTGGAAATCAGACAGGCGTACACCTATTGAGGGAGTGTTAGGAGCTTGGGACTGGGGGAGGGGACACAGTGAATCCTGCAGTGAGCAGGGGGTCTGGGATCACCCCTGGTACCTGGACAGGTGTCCAGTGTGGCTGGGGGAGGGCCCGGGGGCTTGGGGGAGGGAGGCAGAGACTCTGGGGGAAAACACCTCTTTGGCGGTCTTGATGCTTTGGGGGTTCTGGCCATCCTAAATTATGCGAAACACAACTCTGACATTTATAGAAATCAAGATAAAAAGCAATTTGATTATTAGTATTTTCAACACTTGAAATGCTTGACTTCCAGTAAGTAAGAATAATGAAAGATGATCTCACATTTGCCTTAGGTAGTGATGCCTTCTGGACGAAAGGATTTAAACAAAATAGTCTGAAAGAGAAGGTTTAAAACACCAAGGCCCACACTTTCACTTGGCATCAATTCTCGATTTGCTCCACAGGAGGAGAGCCAGAATATTCAAAATCCAAATTGCTAGATGGTTTTTTTAATTGATTTTTATTAGAGCATAGCTGCCTTACAATGTTGTGTTGTTTCCGCTGCAAAGCAAAGTGAATCAGCTATACTAGTGCTCAGTCACTTTGGGTAAGTCCGACTCTTTACGACCCCAGGGACTGCAGCACGCCAGGCTCCTCTGTCCATGGGATTCTCCAGGCAAGAATCCTGGAGTGAATTTCCACGCTCTCCTCCAGGGATCTTCCCAACCCAGGGGTAGAGTCCGCCATCTCTCATGTCTCCCGCATTGGCAGGCGGGTCCTTTACCACCAGCGCCGCCTGGGACGCCCTGGGCCGAGCCCCATCTGCTGTGTGGTCGGCTCTCACTAGGCCCTGTTTTGTTTTTTTTCCCACTGGTCCCTGTTTTGCACACAGCAGGGTGTGTATGTCAGGCCCGACCTCCCGACTGACCCCGCCCCCCACCCTCCTCGGCATCCAAGTTTGTTCCCTGCATCCGTGTCTCCGTTTCTGCTTTGCAGTTAAGTTCGCTAGAAGGTTCCTTTCTAATGCTTCTATTTATTTGTACTACAAAACATGCTTTCTTTTCCTTGCAGGAATTTATCTTTCTACGTATGTTTTTCTTGGGCTTATATGAAAGTTCGTTTGTATTCTCTGACTGTGTCATAATAAGACAGTATGTTTGACTGTATATATGTATGTAAGAAATGTAAATACACACACATGAGTATATAATGAAGCCAGGCATGGCCACAGGCTTTTCGGCAGCAGAAGAAAGCTGACCGAGGATCTGATTGGTCCCAGAGACCTTGGGAAGCGTAAAATTCAGTATATCGCCCGGATGAGCTCTTTGTGTCTCAAGGAACAAACCGCGTGCTTCCCTCACTCCGGCGGCCTGGGAAGGAGAGCCCAGGAGGCCGTCAGGGTGCCCTGCGGCTGGGGGCTCAGCGGTGCAGGGAGGGCCCAGGACCTCCGCCCCGCGGGGCCTCCGCCCACAGGGACGCCTGCGGAGGGCGAAGACCCGGGAGTGAGCCCCAGCACGAGATGGAGCCGGGGCAAAGGGCGTGCCTCAGTGATCTGAGTATTCAGAGAAGGCAGACGCGGCTGAGCCTCCTCCAGGACACCCGGGAAGGAGACCTTCGAGAACTCCTTCCGAGGCAAGCTGGTCATACTTACTCAGGGATGTGGGTTGAGGTTTGTGGAAACTTTTCCTTTTTGCTTTCTGAAAGAAAGAAGAGGCGGTTGAGACTTCTCAGGCAGCTGGAATGGCCCCAACCACGTAGCAGGGGAGTGCTCAGAATGGGGGGCGCGGGGGGCGGTGGATTAAGCAGCCGACACCAAGAGGCCAAGCAGAGTCCAAGCGGGGGGCAGGGAGGCGCCCCCGACACAGGAGCGGGCAGCCCGGGGGAGGCGCCCCCAGACCCGCAGAGTGGCCAGCGGGCCCCAGAGATGGAGGTGCGGGGACACCCACCGGTGGGACGTGAGACGGGGGACGCGGGGCAGCGCTGGCCCATCTGGAGGACCACTCCCCTGACAGCCCGGGCCAAACACGGAGCTGGGCCCCACCCAGGCTCACCCCCGGGCCCCTTCCACGCCTCCACCCTCCGCTTCACTCCAGCGCTGCGGGGGGCGGGAACGCACTGGGCGCTCTGTCACACGTCCACCACCCTGCTCTACTCCCTCCCCTCCACGGCAGGACTGGGGGGCTGGGAGCAGCGGTGGGGGGCGTGCAGGTCAAAATCAGACTGCAGGCTAAGAGCTTGTCATCAGCCTCAAAGGCACTCTGCTCACAACTGACTTCTGTAGAAGTCTTAAAATTACCGTCTCAGTCGCTCAGACCCAGCTGAGGGCACCTGGAATCTGTGATCTGGCTCTGAACACACGCTTGTGGGGAGACCAGCGTTTGTGGGGAGACGCGCGGGAGTCAGGCGGGTGAGCAAAACGCCAGCCCCCCGACTGCACTCACCGTCTCAGAGTCAGAGTCAAAGGTGATTGCAGACAGACCGTCATCCCCCTGGAGGAAGAGAGGCAGACAGTGAGACGGTCGGGCGCGCTCACAAAGCGGGAACTGCTGGGCCGAGCTGCGGGGCGGAACCCGCGTCCAGCAGCGGGGAACAGAGCACTTGGTGCGGGCGGCGGCCGGCTGGTCCACCGCATCCGAAGGGGCGGCGGGGACACGAAGCGAGGCTCTGCTGACGGGGCGGCTCCAGGCCTGTCAGTCCAGCAACAGCATCGCCACAGAAACGACAGGTGGTGCTTTTTTTTTGTTTTTTAATTTAATTGACGTACAGTTGCTTTAAAAGATCTTTTTCCATTATAGGTTATTGCAAGATACTAAATAGAGTGCCCCATGCTATTCATTTTTTCTCTGTTTTATAGACAGTTCAGTTCAGTCACTCAGTCATGTCCGACTCTTTGCGACCCCACAGCACGCCAGGCCTCCCTGTCCATCACCAACTCCCAGAGTCCACCCAAACCCATGTCCATCAAGTCGGTGATGCCACCCAACCATCTCATCCTCTGTCGTCCCCTTCTCCTCCTGCCCCCAATCCTTCCCAGCATCAGGGTCTTTTCCAATGAGTCAGCTCTTCGCATCAGGTGGCCAAAGTATTGGAGTTTCAGCTTCAACATCAGTCCTTCCAATGGATAGCCAGGACTGATCTCCTTTAGGATGGACTGGTTGGATCTTCTTGCAGTCCAAGGGACTCTCAAGAGTCTTCTCCAACACTGCAGTTCAAAAGCATCAATTCTTCGGCGCTCGGCTTTCTTCACCGTCCAACTCTCACATCCATACATGACCACTGGAAAAACCACAGCCTTGACTAGGCAGATCTTTGTTGGCAAAGTAATGTCTCTGCTTTTTAATATACTATCCAGGTTGGTCATAACTTCCTTCCAAGGAGTAAGTGTCTTTTAATTTCATGGCTGCAATCACCATCTGCAGTGATTTTGGAGCCCCCAAAAATAAAGTCTGACACTGTTTCCCCATCTATTTCCCACGAAGTGATGGGACCAGATGCCATGATCTTAGTTTTCTGAATGTTGAGCTTTAAGCCAACTTCTTCACTCTCCTCTTTCACTTCATCAAGAAGCTTTTTAGTTCCTCTTCACTTTCTGCCATGAGGGTGGTGTCGTCTGCATATCTGAGGTTATTGATATTTCTCCCGGCAATCTAGATTCCAGCTTGTACTTCCTCCAGCCCAGCGTTTCTCATGATGTATTCTGCATATAAGTTAAATAAGCAGGGTGACAATACACAGCCTTGACATACTCCTTTTCCTATTTGGAACCAGTCTGTTGTTCCATGTCCAGTTCTAACTGTTGCTTCCTGACCTGCATACAGGTTTCTCAAGAGACAGGTCAGATGGTCTGGTATGTCCATCTCTTGAAGAATTTTCCACAGTTAATTGTGATCCACAGTCAAAGGCTTTGGCATAGTCAATAAAGCAGAAATAGATGTTTTTCTGGAACTCTCTTGCTTTTGTGATGATCCAGCGGATGTTGGAAATTTGATCTCTGGTTCCTCTGCCTTTTCTAAAACCAGTTTGAACATCTGGAATTTCACGGTTCACGTATTGCTGAAGACTGGCTTGGAGAATTTTGAGCATTACTTTACTAGTGTGTGAGATGAGTACAATCGTGCGGTAGTTTGAGCATTCTTTGGCATTGCCTTTCTTTGGGACTGGAATGAAAACTGACCTTTTCCAGTCCTGTGGCCACTGCTGAGTTTTCCAAATTTGCTGGCATATTGAGTGCAGCACTTTCACAGCATCATCTTTCAGGATTTGAAATAGCTCAACTGGAATTCCATCACATCCACTAGCTTTGTTCGTAGTGATGCTTCCTAAGGCCCACTTGACTTCACATTCCAGGATTTCTGGCTCTAGGTGAGTGAGCGCACCATCGTGATTATCTGGGTCGTGAAGATCTTTTTTGTACAGTTCTTCTGTGTATTCTTGCCACCTCTTCTTAATATCTTCTGGTTCTATTAGGTCCATCCCATCTGTCCTTTATTGTGCCCATCTTTGCATGAAATGTTCCCTTGGTATCTCTGATTTTCTTGAAGAGATCTCTAGTCTTTCCCATTGTGTTGTTTTCCTCTATTTCTTTGCATTGATCGCTGAGGAAGGCTTTCTTATCTCTCGTTGCTCTTCTTTGGACCTCTGCATTCAGATGGGAATATCTTTCCTTTTCTCCTTTGCTTTCCATTCTCTTCTTTTCACAGCTATTTGTAAGGCCTCCTCAGACAACCATTTTGCTTTTTTGCATTTCTTTTCCATGGGGATGGTCTTAACATGTCTCCTGTACAATGTCACAAACCTCTGTCCATAGTTCATCAGGCTCTCTGTCTATCAGATCTAGTCCCATAAATCTATCTCTCACTTCCACTGTATAATCATAAGGGATTCGATTTAGGTCATACCTGAATGGTCTAGTGGTTTTCCCCACCTTCTTCAGTTTAAGTCTGAATTTGGCAGTGAGGAGTTCATGAGTTATAGATGGTAGTGTCTATCAATCTCACACTCCTAGTTTATCCCTCCCCCAGTGAACGGTTCTTGACAAAAGCATTCCATCTTTGCATCAGAGCATAAGGACCCTATAACTGCATCCTGGAGAGAGTGAATCAGCGTCACCCCACATCACCAGTGCCCGCGTTATCTTTGCGCACTGAAGTTCCTGCCTTCGGGTTCCAGCAATCTGACCTGGCGCAGGGAGCAGAATAAAATCTGTACTATCATCAGAATAAAGGGAACTTGCCCAAGTGGAAGATGCGTCTGTTAACTCACTTAGGCTGACGTCCTAAGACAGAAAGCAGAACCCGTTTCACACCCGTCCCCTGCACCGTCGCTGCTGTTCAGTCTCTCACATGTGTCCAGCTCCTTGCAGCCCCAAGCACTGCAGCCCGCCAGGCTCCTCCGTCCATGAGATTCTCCAGGCAAGGGTGCTGGGGTGGGTGGCCACTTCCTTCTCCAGGGGAGCTTCCCGACCCAGGGGTCAAACCCACGTCTCCTGCATCGGCAGACGGATTCTGAGGTACAGACGGCAAATGACAAGCATAGTGTATACACAGCGAAACCTACCCGGCGCTCCGTGGTGACTGAAACGGGAAGGACATCCAAAAAGAGGGCACACGTCAACAGGTGTGGCTGATTCACTTCACCGCGCAGAAGAAAGCAACACAACAGGGTAATGGAACCATATCCAGTCAAAACATTTGTAAAGTAGCAAATGACAGTTACAGACAGAAGTCTTCACTTAACAAACTGCAGGAGAACAATGTGGAAAACTAAGGCAGGGGGATCAGGGCAGCTGGGTGAAGGCCGCCTTAGCCCCCAGCATCACAGCACCGGCCTGCCAGCCACACAGTCCCACCGGAAAGCGGCAACGCTTTCTCGTGTGAACACATGTCACAATTCTTTGTTCTGAATAAAACCTTGAAGACTTTTTAAGGGCCTGAAATTTCAACAAGGGAAGAAGGTTACCCGCGTGGTGAACAAAACCAGGTGGCCTCTGTCTCTACAGGAGGGCTCACCCACACCATCGCGTCCCCCGCGTCAGCCCCCCTCAGAGTCTGCTCCTCCCCATCGCGGGTCAGAAGGAACTAAACAAGGGAAATACTGCCGCTATCTGCACTCCTAAGATCTATCCCTCCAGCAGAAGGAGACCACGGACAGTATTGGAAAAACAAAAGAACACATGAATGGTCAAGTTCAATTCATCCTTCCTCTGCAAGCAGGACCGGAGCCTGTGTGGATTCCTACAGGAGACCGCACGCAAACCTCGCGCGGGGGGACTCTGCGGGGCGGCGGCTGGCGGGCAGTGCCCCGGGGATCCCAAAAGGCCTGGGGCAGCAACGTGGCCCCGCGTCAGCTGTGTGATGCTGGTCGCGCCATGGACCCCTCTGCATTTCAGCTTCCTCGGTGACAAGCAGGACACGTTCTCCCATCAGGATTTTAGAGCATTAAATCTATATTAACTAAGACACTGGGGGAAGAGACACAGTGTCCAGAACAAGATGCCGGAACATACAGGGTTTCGGTTCCTGGTGAACGGTGGGGCGGGGGGAGGCAGGGATGCCTTCACAGAGGGGGCATCTCCCAGGACGGTACAGTGAGGAGAGTGGAAGGCCCGCTCCTCAACCAACAACCATCTAATAGAAGAAGCCACAAAGCAATCAATCTTCATCGATTAGTGAAGATAATCAATGAATCTTGCAGTGCAGGAAATCTACTAAGTCAGGGAAGCGCCTCCAGAGTCACGGGCCCCTCGGCCCCCCAAGGACCTAAGTGACCCCAGAGTGTGGTCCTGCAGGCGGGCGGGTGCAGTCAAGACCACAGGGCTGGGTGCTGTGGGGTGTGAGCTCCTCCCCAGACACGGCAGGCTAAGACCCCCGTGTCTGTGGGGCGGGGGCTCCATGCAGGGGGGGCAGGAAGGAGCACCCCTCGGGGGAGACACCGCTGCCCTGCTGTGCCGGGGCCCAGGGCCCTTCTCCGGGAGAGGCAGGACGGCAGCTGTGCCCAGGGGACGGATGGCACAGTTCCATCCGCCTGGCTCCTTTGCCAATGAAGACAAAGTGGGGAGCGAGCCGTGGCCCTCAGCTCCAGGGTCATGGCGGCAGAAAGCTCACTGCAGAGCAGCCGCTAGTTGAAGAGCCCAGAAGTGCCTTCCTGGGGCGGCAGTCAAGCCTGAGGGTCAGGGAGGCTGGGGGCAAGGACCGGAGTGCAGCCTTGGGGTGGGCTTCGGCAGACTTGGAAGCCACCCCCACCCGGAACCCAGGTCAACCAGAGGGTGTGAGCCCCAGTGGTTACCGAACCCCGGCGGAACGGGGGACCCCCCGACCCGAGAGCAGACCCCAGGGAGCCAGGCTTAAACACCACTGATGGGGACTTCCCTGGTGGTCCAGGGCTGAAGACAGCGCGCTTCCACTGCAAGGGGCACAGGTTCGACCCCTGGTTGGGGAACTAAGATCCCATATGCTGTATGCCCGAAGCGCGGCCAAAAAAATAAAAAAGGAATATGACGACAGACATCCCAGGAGGTCTGGAGGACCACGGCACATCCAAGGCTGCACTCGGGAGAGACGGAGGGGGAAAACCATGCACGGGTTCCTGGCTGCACATGGGCAAAGATGTAAACCCCTGAACAGTGACAGCCGCCTGCACACACACGCACACACATGCACGCCGGGGCACACACATGCAGTGGTTAACGGCAGAAATCTGACTGACCCAGGGGGTGGAACAACCTCTGACCAACAAGCGGCCTCTGCTGACCCAAGGATAACCCCAAGGTAGGTGGGCTAAAGGATTTCAAAAGGAAAAAGTCTGAGCAGGGAGACAGGCTGCACAGTGCGGGGACGACAACTTCAGAGTCAGGTCAGCCAAGTCCCTCCCCAGATAAACAAACCGGGGGCGGGCGTGGGAGGAGCTGTAATGTATTAGCTAAATGTTGGGGGGCGAGCTGCGGTAACATATCATCTAAATGTCGAGTTTTCAACAAAAACACTAAGAGATAACAGAGGACCAGGAAAGTGCGACCAACGTACAGGGCAGAGCAGGCGGCAGAAGCTCCGTGTGCAGGGCCCCGCCGCGGGCTCGGCGGCCGCGGGCCTCAGAGCGGCCGCCTCTGCAAGCTCAGGGGAGGGCTGTCCTGAGGCTGGGAGGACGGTGAGGCAGGAGAGCCCAGTGGTTGCGTGCAAGAGGTCTGGGTGGCGGGGGGCGCTAGAGCAGGTGATAAGAGAACCGCGGGAGCAGGACACGCTCTGCCGATGCTCTTACCTTGTTCCGGAGCCTGGAAGCCCTTCACCGGGGACCAGGCTCAGGCTCCCCTCGCCCTGGGGCTCTGCCGGGGGCCAGCGGGGCTGCTCCCCAGCACCGTACATGTCCCGTGAAGCGCACGAGCAAGCCCAGAGGCGGCTCTGCTCCCGGCGCCTGCCCTCGAGAGGGTCTCCTCTGGTTGAGAACAGATGTCAGCTCAGCAGGGAAACCGCCAGTCAGCCGGGGCCAATGGCTGCGAGCCTCCTAGTGGAGGGCTGGGCGCTGGTCCCTCCCACGGGACTGCGTTCCTGGGGACCAAGACACGCGGGCACCCGGGTGGCCTCGGAGCCGGCGTGTGTCAGGGGCTTGACAAACGCTTCTACGCCTAAGGACCTTTGGAGCAGCGTGGTTTCCAACAGCACAAGGTGAAAACACCCGAGGAAAAGCAAGGAAGTGTTATTTACTCAGCCGTGTCTGACTCTATGCGACCCCATGGACTGTAGCCCACCAGGCTCCTCTGTCCAGGAGATTCTCCAGGCAAGAACACTGGATTGGGTTGCTCTTAGGGAAGAGACCCCCTTCTCCTGGGGGTCTTCCCGACCCATGGGTGGAACCCAGGTCTCCTGTGTTGTAGGCAGATTCTTTACTGTCTGAGGCAACAGGGAAGTCCAAGAGGAAGGGAGTGGAGAGCTAAAACAGGAGTATCCTGTTAGCTTAGAGCCTCTTGATAAAAACGAAAGAGAGTGAAAAAGTTGGCTTAAAACTCAACATTCAGAAGATCATGGCATCTGGTCCCATCAGTTGACGGCAAATAGATGGGGAAACAATGGAAACAGTGAGAGGCTTTATTTTGGGGGGCTCCAAAATCACTGCAGATGGTGACTGTAGCCATGAAATTAAAAGATGCTTGCTCTTTGGAAGAAAAGTTATGACCAACCTAGACAGCATATTAAAAAGCGGAGACATTACTTTGCCAACAAAGGTCCGTCTAGTCAAAGCTATGTTTTTCCAGTAGTCGTGTATGGATGTGAGAGTCGGACTATAAAGAAGCCTGAGTGCCAAAGAATTGATGCTTTTGAACTGTGGTGTTGGAGAAGACTCTTGAGAGTCCCTTGAACTGCAAGGAGATCCAACCAGTCCATCCTAAAGGAAATCAGCCTTAAATATTCATTGGAAGGACTGATGCTAAAGCTGAAACTGCAATCCTTTGGCCACCTGATTCGAAGAACTGACTCATTTGAAAAGACCCTGATGCTGGGAGAGATTGAAGGCGAGAGGAGAAGGGGACAACAGAGGATGAGATGGCTGGATGGCATCACTGATTCAACGGACATGAGTTTGAGTAAGCTCCGGGAGTTGGTGATGGACAGGGAGGCCTGGCTTGCTGCAGCCGCAACGAGTCGGACACAACTGAGCGACTGAACTGAACTGATTAGGTTAGAGGTTTTACTTTTTAATTTTATTTTAAAAAATATTATCTTTCCATTTTTGCATGAATAATACTTGTGAAGATTTTTACACATATATTTATTTATTTTGGCTGTGCTGCAGGTCACATGGAACCTGTTTCCTGACCAGGGATCAAACCCGTTGCCCCCTGCAGTGGAAGCTCAAGGGTCCTAATCACTGGACCGCCAGGGAATTTCCAAGTTAGAGTTTTTGTTTTTTCATTTTATTTATTTAAAAAAATATTTCTTTCTTTCTTTGGCTGTGTTGGGTCTTAGTTGCAGCACACAGGATCTTTGATCTTCCTTGGGGCATGCGGAATCTTTTTAGTGGCGACACGTGGGATCTTTAGTTGTGGCACGTGAACCCTTAGTCCTGGCACTTGGAATCTAGTTACCTGACCAGGGATCGAACCCAGACCTCTTGCATTGGAAGCAAAGAGCCTTAGCCACTGGACCCACCATGGTAGTCCCCCAAATTAAGAGTTTAAAAAAATTTTTAAGTGAAGTATAGTTCATTTACTATATTATAGTTTCAGGTGTACAATAAAGTGATTCAGTTATATTATATACATATTTTTTTCAGATTTTTTTCCATTATAGGTTATAAGACAGTGAACATAGTTCCCTGTGCTATACAGTCAGTCCTTGCTGTTTAGAATTCAGCTTTTTGAGATTCCATATATACGTGAGATCATACAGCATTTGTCTTTATCTGTTTGATGTATTTCTCTTTCTCTTTTTTATGAGACTGACGCGCTGCCTACTGCACTAAGAAGGCTGACTCTCTCTTTTTTAAATTGAAGTATAGTTGATTTACAATGTTGCATTAGTTTTAGGTATACAATAAACTGATTCAGTTATACATATATATATAAACTTAGTTTTTAAAACATGTTTTTGAAAACGTAGGTATGGGAAGATGCTAACAGTAAATTAAATGGCAAGAATTACAAAACAATATAAATAGGACCCCAAATTTTAAAAGCCATATGGGAAGAAAAAAATGCGTTGAAAAAATATCAGAAAGAAATATACCATGGAGAAGGAAATGGCAACCCACTCCAGTATTCTTGCCTGGAAAAGTCCATGGACAGAGGAGCCTGGCGGGCTGCAGTCCATGGGATTACATGACTAAGCATGTGTGCACGAAGGTGGAGGGAGATGGGTTGGTAGCAATAAAGTGGTAGAACTAAAAATATATATATATATATACCAAACATTAACCGTGGTTTTCTGTAGGCAGTTAGAGTACGGGTAATTGACTTTCTTTACGGGGCATGAATAACCTTTACAGTCACAGTATGAGGAGCTACTTTTTAAAGGTGAAGAAGCAGTAACTGAGACCAGAGCAGGCGGCAGGACTTCCAGGGGAGGCTGGACTCGGTGCCTTGGGGGACAAGTGGCAGGAGCCCTGAGTCCCCACTTGGGGAGAGCGCCGGGCAGCCCTCCTGGGTTCTGCCATCTCTTCCCAGAGAAGGAAGCAACCGTGAGTCAAGCGCCCTCTGCCTGGAGCCCTCCAAACCCTTCCCACTGTGGCAGGAGTGAATTCAGACCAGGACAACTGCCTGCAAGGCTCTCCGCGGTCAGGTCCATGGCTCCCTTCCATCCACACAGGTCGCCCAGTGAGATCCCAGCAAGCTCTCTTTCGTGCCCTGGGACCCTGCACTTTCCCACCTCAGGACCTTTGCACCTGCTGGCCCCGGTATCTCAGATCATCACCCGGCTGCCTCCTTTTCATCCGGGACATCAGGACACTCCAACTTCTCAGGGGCTGCTCCTGGCACCCAACCTAAAGCAGCCTACCACCCCGCCTCCCTTACGTGGGCTGTTTTATTTTCTACAGGGCACTTTCTGACTTGATGGACACGATCCGTTTTGGGGTTTGTTGTTTTTTTGCCTTGTTTTCCCTCACCCCCACCCCGGGTCCCGTCACCCCGCCACCGGAATGCAGTGTATTCGCCCACAGTGGTATCTACAGTTGATGGCTGACGCCCCAGAAACACTGGGTGAAGGAAGAGTTGAGAACACGCTCGCTCTGACCCGGGGGAGCCACCCTGGGCGGGCGGCACCTCCTCCGGGAAGCCTGCCCTGATCGGCGCCTGGGGTTCCTCCTTCACACCCGGCACGGCTCGGGTCCCTCGCCCCGTCCGAGGCCCCCAGCCCGGGAATCGCCGGGTTGGGCGGGCACTTACGCAGTGAGCTCCGTCACCCAGGCGGGCCGCGATGGCAGGCTCCGCTCAGGCCCGGCTTCGCAGGCGCCGAGCGGCGAGGGCGCAGCGTCCGGGAGGGCTTCCTGGAAGCGGCGGCCAGGGTAAGGACGAGTGGGGAACTAGAGGCGGCTGGAGGCTGGGCGAGGGGCGGCGGCCAGAGATCCGCTCTTATGCGGTAACAATAATGGCTGCGGTCACCGGCGGCCGCTGGCCCTGCGCCTCTTCCCTCCGGCCCTCGCCCCGGCAAGGGAGGCATCGAGGGCGCTCCCCGCCCCCGCCGTCCGCGCTTACCGTCTCCGAGGCAGGCTCTGCGGTGCCCAGCGACATGGCGGCGGCGCTGCCCGATCGCCCCCGGGCGCGGCGGGCGCGGCCGTCCGGTTCCGGGGCTCCGCAGGCCACCCGGCTGCCCGCAGCTTCTCCGCCGGCCCGCGCGCCCGCCGCGACCCCGCTTCCATGGCAACGGCGCCAGTCCGCGGATCCCCGGATGTGGCGAGCCCGGCCGACTCTACCTGTACCCGGGGACACACTCTGGCCGACCGGCTGCGCGCCCAGAGTGTGGGGCGGAGAGCGGGGCGGAGCTGGAACAGCGTTCTGCCGCCGAGGTGGCACCGCGACCCTGCGCGCTCGTCACCAGAGCTGGTTATTAATAAATATTTAGTAGGTTAACGCTGAAAGGGACAGGGAGCCTGTTCTGTGTCCACAACCTGCTAGCTCTGAACGCCTGGCATTGAGAAAACCATCTTCCTAATCTCGGATCTTAGGCTCAAGGGTTATGATGTAAAAAAAAAAAAAAAAAAAAGTCAGTCGTGTCTGACTCTTTGCAACCCCATGGACTGTATAGTCCATGGAATTCTCCAGGCCAGAATACTGGAGTGGGTAGCCTTTCCCTCCTTCAGGGGATCTTCCCAACCCAGGGATCGAACCCAGGTCTCCCACATTGCAGGTGGATTCTTTACCAGCTGAGCTACAAGGAAAGCCCAAGAATACTGGAGTGGGTAGCCTAAATCCTATGATGTAGTCACAGGACCAAAAAAAAAAAAAAGAGAAAGAGAAAGATCTTAGGCTCAAGGGTTATAATGCAGTCACAGAACAAGAAAAAAAAGAACAGCGTTTGCACTCACTGTATTCAGTGTGAATCATGAAGATCTTTGGGCGCGTTGGGCTGCAAGTTTCATTTAAACAATAAGCAAACATAATCTGCCCTTTATCTTCCTACAGGCCTCCAAGGGCATTTACTCTGTCTCCCTGCCCTGCTGTGTTTTTCCAGCCCCCTGACCTTTATTATCTACAAGAACTCCCCTTGTCTAGAATGTAAGCTCTCTGGGGCAGGGCCTTGTTTTGCTCCCAACTGTATCACCGTCCCTTGGAACATTATCTGGCACACAACAGGTGATTAATCAGTAGGTATTTGGTGACCGGTGAGTGATAACTTCTCTGGGTTTGTATCCTCTAATATAAAAGGAAGGAAAGAGCTGTTGTGAAGACCAGAGTGCCTAATGCTTTTGAACTGTGGTGTTGGAGAAGACTCTTGAGAGTCCCTTGGACTGCAAGGAGATCCAACCAGTGCATCCTAAAGAAAATCAGTTCTGAATATTCATTGGAAGGACTGATGCTGAAGCTGAAACTCCAATACTTTGGTTACCTGATGCGGAGAACTGACTCATTGGAAAAGACCTGATGCTGGGAAAGACTGAAGGCCGGAGGAGAAGGGGACGACAGAGGAGATGGTTGGATGGCATCACTGACTCGATGGACGTGAGTTTCAGTAAACTCCGGGAGCTGGTGATGGACAGGGAGGCCTGGCGTGCTGCAGTCCGTGGGGTCGCAAAGAGTTGGACACGACTGAGCGACGGAACTGAACTGAACTGAACCGAACCGAAAGTGCTTACAGCAGCTGCGGGTTCCAGAGTGCGCGCAGTGTGACACAGATGGAGTCCGCACACCGGGCAGGTGGTGTGGTAGGATGATGACGCTGGTGGGGCAGGGACAGTAAATGCATTCTGAATTTAGTCAGGATGAAACCCCTCTGTAAATGGAGGAAGCCGTGCCTGCTGCGCGGCTAGCATTTGGCTTCGGTGGCCCGCCCAGACACGCGGGCCTTTGGCCGGCGAGGCCACGCCCCTCACATGTAGCCACGCCCCTTCCGCCGAAAAGCCACGCCTTCCAGGCGCAAAGCGTGCTGGGTTCCGGTGCACACACCTCTGAGCGCCCTGGTCGGGTGACGGGTCCGGGCAACGGGCTTGGCGGTGGCTTGTCCCGCTCCTTCTGAGCCCGTTCCCTGAGCCTGGGCCTTTGGGGCTCTCAGAGTGGCCTCCAGGGGCGTCCTCCCCGTCCTCGCCTCCTCCAGTCCCGGCAGGTCGCGCGGCCCGGGGCGGGGCCTGCGGCGGCTGAGGGAAGCGAAGTGGGTGAGGTGCGCACCCGGGGAGGGGTCGCGGTCACTGTGGAGGGCCCGGCGGGGTCGAGGTTAGGGGCCAGGGCCTCCCGGGCCGGAGAACCGCCTGGGGCCCGCGTGCGCGCCCCTGGATTGGGCCCCAGCACCACCGCAGCCGCCGGCCTGGCGTCCTCCGTGGGGTCCACGGGGAGGGCGCCTTCCTCAAGTACTTAGCCTGGCCAGGGATGGACAGACGGACGCCCCAGACTTGCTCTAGACCCCGGCAGACAGAGTCACTGGACACCCCCATCCTCCCGCGAGAGCCCTCCCTGACCACAGGACCGACGGGCTCCCGGGCCCCCTCCCAGGCCAGACTCGCAGGTGCGCTTGCAGTCCCGGGAGGAAACGGCAGTGGGCACAGCGCCTTCCCCTCCGCACACTGCTGGCTGCAGGGTTTTCACACTGACCCTGGGAGGGACTGACAGACAGACACCTCCCAGCTGGACTGAGACCCCTACAGCTCTGACTGACTAATCCGCTCAGCCTCCTACACGTGGCTGGCCCCGGAGCGCGCATGCGCCCCTGGCTCTGACAGGCCTGCAGCCTAGATCAATTTCACGGTCATTTCCTCCCACCAGAGTCCAGAGTTGGCTGCCTTTGAGCTCCTGAGGCCGCATGGTTTACTCCAGACTCCCGTCTCCACCGCCAGACTCGAGGGCTCCAGTTTGCTCTTGACAACCTCCAATCTCACCCCAGCTGAGGCTTCACCGCTGTCCTGGCAGCTGGGAGTTTCCCTCTGAAGAGTGATCACCTGGCCTCAGGTGAAAGTCCTAGGGCCTGGTGGGGCTGGGGGCTGCCTGTGACTCGGCGGGTGGAGTCTGGCCCTGCCTGACATCTCCTCTGCAGGGACCCTAGCCCCATCATGGACCCAGAGTGCGCCCGGCTCCTCCCGGCTCTCTGTGCCGTCCTGGCAGACCCCAGGCAGCCCGTGGCAGATGACACTTGTTTGGAGAAGCTGCTGGACTGGTTTAAAGCAGTCACTGAAGCAGGTAGGCTGAGGGTGGCTGCCGACTCTCCCCGGAGGCCGGAGGGTGCAGGGCTCCCCTGTGCTAGGAAGAGGCCGTCTGTCTGGGGTCATTCCCCTACATCTTAGAGATCCTCCCTTGCTTTTCATGATATTTCCTCACCCACAAATTAGGGTTAGGGTTAGAGTTAGAGTATATAGGCTTCCCTGGTGGCTCAGTAAAGTCCACCTGCCAATGCAGGAGACTCGGGTTCAATCCCTGGGTCAGGAAAATCTCCTGGAGAAGGAAATGGCAATCCACTCCAGTATTCTTGCCTGGAGAAGCCCATGGACAGAGGAGGCTGGCGGGCTACAGTCCATGGGGTCACAAAGTCAGAAACGACTTAGTGACTAAACAACAATAGGTGTGTGTGCACGTACACACACACACACACACACACACACACATACACTCTTTTTCAGAGTGTTTTCCATTATAGTTTATGACAAGATGTTGAATGTAATTCCCTGTGCTATACAGTAGGCCCTTGTTTATTTTAAATATAGTAGTTTGTATCTGCTAATCTCAAACTCCTAACTTATCCCCTCACCTTCCCCTTTGGGAACCGTACGTTTGTTTTCTTTGTCTCTGAGTCTGTTTCTCTTTTGCAAATAAGTTAACTTGTATCATTCTTTTAGATGCCACCTGTAAGTGATATCAGACAATATTTGTCTGACTCCCTTCACTTAGGACAACAATCTCTAGGCCCATCCACGTTGCTGCAGATGGCATTGTTTCGTTCTTTCTGTGATGAGTAGTATTCCATTGTGTATATGCAGTCAACCAGATCTTTGTCTGTTCATCTGTTGATGGACGTTTCGTTGCTTGCATGTCTTGGTTGTGAGTACTGCTGCTGTGGTGTGAAGACATTTCAGGTGCCGTGTCTGGAGGAGAATGCCTGTTCCCTGTGTGTGTTGCTTTAGTGCTCTCCATTTAAGAGAAAGTTACCCACTGGAGAGGTGAAGATTGTCTGCTGCTCTTATTTGTGTCTTTTTTTCATAATCAGCAGGACAGAACATCTTTTCAGGTTTGCTGGCCATTTGTATTTCCTGTCCAAGTCCCTTGCCTGTTGTTGAGGTGTCGTTGAATTAGAGTAATGAATCCTTTGAAGCAGTTGTTGCAAATACTTCCTCCCGGTCGGACTGCTGAGTCTGACAGCCTGAGAGAGGAGGTCTGGGAGTTGCCAGAAGGACGGTCCCTTTTGGAGGCATGCACGGTGCCCTGGTAACGTGCTTCCCGGCTGGGCCTGTCCCCAGGGTCCAGTCTCCTGTTACTGCAGGAAAACCCCTGCCTGGTGGAGCTGCTCTTCCATGTGCTGAAGCCCCAGGACCTGAGTTCCAGAATCCTGTCCTTCGCACTCCGCCTCGCAGGGACGTTTGCAGCCCAGGAGAACTGCTTCCAGTACCTTCAGGTAAGCCTGGGTTCTCCCAGCTGTGGGACCCACTTTCTCCAGCAGCTGCACAGAGCGGGTGGCTGTCATGACCCCTGGTCTCTGAAACTCGCTTCGCCCCTGTACCTTGACGTGCTCCACGGCGTTTTCATTCCTGCGTAGAGTCCTCCTTTGAAAAACTCACCAGGAACGGGTTGGGGTGAAGGGTGAGCGTTTTGGAATCAGACAGAGCTGGGGTTGGGTCTCTGCAGCCTTCGTGGGCGCCCCTCAGTTCAGCAGTGCAAGCTCCCGGGACCCCACCCACCCCAGCTAACCGTGGGGCAGACTTTCCAGGGTGTTCTACACCGAAGCCTGTTGTAGGAAATGACCTCATGTCTGATCATCCTTCCGTACATACCTCGGCGTTTGCAGAATCGCGTCCGGGTTATCCTGAGAGCCCTGGCCAGTAAGCAAGTCAGGAGCCTTCACCTCCGTCTCCGGGCGAGGAGACAGCGAAGGCTCCGTAGAGGGACCCCGCGGAACCGGCAGGGCTCACAGCGGGCCCTGAGGAGTCAGGCTGGCCGCGTGGTCTGTCACACCATCTGCTTCTTTGAAAACAAATGCTCAGTCCCAGTCACGTGGATTTCCCCAGCTTCTCTGACTTCCTGGCTGCTCCCCGGTTCCCATCTCTTCTCCACGTCCTCTTTTTCCTTCCCGCAGCCAACCGTGGCTGTGGAGGCTTTGCAGGCCAGGGGCTGCCCTTCTCTCTGCTGGCGGGCCCCTGCACACGGGGACAAGGGGCACGGCAGGTTTGGGCCCTGCGTCGCAGAGGGAGCTTGCCCTGTGCCCTGGGCCCCTGGCGCTGGCTTGGGCTCCTGTTCACTTTTCGGCTGCCCTTTCACAGAACCCCAGGGGGTCTGGCAGCTCTCAGGGCTGCCTGTCAGCGAGATGCTCAACACGGGCCCCGTCGGGGCAGGGGGCGTGCGGACAGACGATGTGAGGCTGGGGGCTGAGCATCGGTGCCCTCCCGCTGGCTGCAGGCAGCCCCCAGGAGGGCTGTAACTGGGGGGGCTATCTAGATGACAGGTGATCCCACAGAGGGCCTCCCTGTGGGCTGCCACCAGCAGCGGCGCCCCGTAAGGCCATCGTGGGGTCAGACTCATCCCGCAGTGACTGAAAGAGCGTCTCCTCGGCCCGGGGAATCCCTCACCCGGAGTCTGGGATGATTAGAGGGATCCCGTCCCTTGAGGGTGGGGACCAGCATTTTATTGTCAAGATAGACAAGGCTCTGAGCAAGTCACGAGCCCAGGGAGGGGCTCCGGGGGAGAGAGGCAGCCCTCGAGTTTCCCACTCACCGCGCTGGGCCCTGTGGGGAACAGGAATCTCGGGCACCTGGCGGGGGTCAGGGTGGCGTGCTGTTGTGCTGCTGGTGGGCACCCGTGCGCAGATGGGCAGTGAGCGGGGAGTCGGGCAGTGCCTGCTGCAGGCGTGGGGGGGGCCAGCTTCAGGGGCCATGGGCTCGCAGCTGGGTCGGAAGGGCTATGAGCAGGTGTATGTGCAGGGCAGGCCTGACACGGGGTGTGCCGGGGAGTCTGGGGTGGGGGGCATCTGGAGGAGGGCATGTGCCCCGCGTGCCAAGCGCAGAGCCCAGTGGCCTCTGGAGGCCTGCAGGGGTCTCCGGGCACAGGATGTCATGGTCAGAGGGGTCCTTTGGTGTTTCTGCCGGTGGGTGTTGCGGGAGGGTCTTCTGGAGCGGACTGTGACAGGATCGGAGCCTGAGTGTGACACCCGGCCCTTCCTTCCCAAGTTCTCTCCCCTGGAAGGCTGAGCTGGACTCACTCGGCTCCTTCCTCCTCCGCTTGCAGCAGGGGGAGCTGCTGCCCGGGCTCTTCGGGGAGCAGGGCCCCCTCGGGGCAGCGGCCTGGGCGGCCCCCACCGTGCGCAGCGGCTGGATCCAGGGCCTGCGCTCCCTGGCTCAGCACCCCAGTGCCCTGCTCTTCCTCGCCGACTCGGGTGAGTGCCCCGCCGGCCCGGCCCGCGCAGTGTGAGCCCCGGGACGCGCTGGGCCTCGCTGGGTTCTTCCTCTGAACGGGAGAGTGGCCGTGGTGTCACTGGGCTGTTGAGAGGAACGCTCGGGGTGATCGAGTGTTGGGGGCCCCTCTAGGCTGTGCGGTGAGCTCTGGTTTGTGGGTCAGACTCAGAGCTGGGGTGGCTCTGAGACTGGTTAGAAGGCTCCAAGGTGGCCAGGGTTCTCAAGCCCCGCCCCGTGAACCCCCAGCGGGTCCCAGCCTCCGAGCAGGGGAGGCTGGGCCTCCCACCCTGCCTCCCCCGTGGGTGGGATTCAGGCTCCGAGTCCCAGCGCTGGAGGCCCCTCGGCATCTCCAGCGTCCCTGCCGCCCCGCGGCCGCTGTCCCATCTGAACCCTCTCTCCCCTCGCCCCGTTGTCCCCCCAGGTGCTGTTGACACCATCTTCTCCCTGCAGGGAGACCCCAGCCTGTTCGTGGCCTCCGCTGCCGGGCAGCTGCTGGTGCATATCCTGGACTTGGCCACGCGCGGCCCCGCCGAGGGGCACGGCCGCCCGCAGGCCCAGGACTGGCCGGCGTGCGCCCAGAGGGTCGCGTGTCACCTCGAAGACTGCCTGTGCTCCGAGGCCGCCCCGCGGGTCACGCAGGCCCTGCACGTGCTGACTACCGCGTTCGGGCACTGCCACGGCCTCTGGACGCAGGGCCTTTGGGTGCAGCTGAGCCCCCTCGTGGCCCGCCTGCTTGAGAAGGACCCCATGCCAGCCCCCCACGCGCTCGTGGAGCTCCTCCTCAGCGTGGCCCGGTCAGGCCCCCGGGTGCAGCTGCAGGGTGGGCTGCGCGGGGGGGCCGCTGCTAGTTTTCCTTGAGGTCTCTGGGCGGCCATCACACCCGGGGCCGCGGCTCGTCGGCCCCCCAAGAGGGCTGCCTCGAGTCAGGGGAACCCCTTAGGGGGTCTGAGAGCCTGCACGCCTGGAACGACCTCCTGTCTTGGGCCGGGCACGCCCAGCGCCACTGGGCCTGGTGTGGGCTGGACGGAGGGGTGACGCTGTCTTCTGGGGCTTCCTCTGCAGCTCTTCCGTGCCCAGCTCTAACCCTGGCCTGTGGGAGACTGCAGCACAGACCCTCAGCCGCCTGAGCCCCATGCAGGCAGGGCCTCTGGCTGCGGGGATCCTGAAACTGCAGGACTGGTAAGGGCCAGGGTTCGTGTTGTGCGGGACAGGCAGTGAGTCAGGGGCCTCCCAGGATCCCTGCCCCTGGAGGAGTGCCAGTAAGGAGGCTTACAGGGTCGCTGTCTCCCAGTTCCCGGCTCTGCCCCCTTGCCCCAGCCTCGCTGGTGGTGTTAGGAGGGCAGCCTCACCCTGTCCTATCTTCAGTCCCCAGGCGCTGAGGACCCAGGCCTTCGGTGTCCTCCTCCGGCCCCTGGCCTGTGTCCTGGAAGCCACTGCTCAGGTCCCCGGAACACCAGGTAGGCTGTTGGGGAACGGCGGGCTGGTGTAGGAAGGCAGAACCCTGAGCGTGTCCTTGGGGCTGGGCCAGGCCGGTGGGCATCGCGGTGCCTGGCTCACCTCCCCACCCAAGAGTGAAGCTGGCAGTGCTGTGGGCGTTGTCTCGGCAGTGACTGGCTCGCGTGCCTGCTTAGGAGTTCTTAGGGCAGCATCTCCCCCCAGTCCCGCCCCACGGCATCATCGAGGGGGCCCCAGAGCCGCTGACCCTGCAGTTGGTGGTGGTTACCGGGGCCTTGGCCGCGTGGACCATTCCTGACCCACATCGGGCACCTGGGCCTGGCACTCATGCTCCCAGACCGTCTGTTCTGTGATGGGAAAGTGGGTCTCCTCGGCCACAGCTCGTCTTGTTTCAGTTGCATGACGGTTTGGGGGTTAGACATGGGGACCCCGCTGTGCCCAGTAGCCCCATGTCGAGGGAGAGAGGGACCTTCTGACCAGCATAAGCTGGCCCCGGCACGGGCTGCTGGGAGAGTGGAACTCTGCTTGAGAGCCCTGCAGACAGGTTCAGACCACACGTCACCCAGCAGGGCCACTGCTTGGAGCCGCCCACCCAGTCTCTGGTGGGAGTCAGTGACCAGTGGCCTCGCGGGAGGTGCCTGCTCACCGGGACCTGTGTCCGGTCGCTCGCAGGCTTGCTGGAGGGGGCCGCAGGCGACCCGATGGCCGTGGACACGCTCCCGCCCTCCAAGTCGGCGTGCGTGGGTCTCCTGTGTAGCACGCTGGCCCACCTGGAGCTGCTGCAGCCCCTGGTAGGTGTGGCCCGGCCCGCGTCCACCCTGGCAGCAGGACTTGCAGCTGGCAGTGACGCTCCCTCCCCGCCCCAGCCCCAGCGCCCCTCGCCCTGGCCCCAGGCGCCCCTGCTTGCGGCTGCGGTGACGATACTGCGGTTCTGCAACGGCTCTGCAGCCCCCAGCTCCGAGGTGGGGGGCCGCCTGTGTACGATGCTGGTGGGCTGTGTCCGCGTCCAGCGAGCTGCCCTGGATTTCCTGGGGGTCCTGTCTCAGGGGCTGGGTAAGTGAGAACACGTTCTCTTGCACAGCTCGGGCATTGCTCAGCTGTGTCCCGAGACCGCTGTCGTCTCCTGTCTCCTCCCGGGAGAGGTGGGATTCAGCTGACTGAGGGAGTCTGTGCCCCCGTTCTCCTTGGGTGACACCTCCGGGCGGGGGAGGCCCCAGGGTGGCAGGCTGGGCGCTTTACCCATGCACGTCCGTCTCAGGCCCACGGGAGTTGGTGACGCAGGTGTTTGCCGTCCTGCTGGAGTATCTCATGAGCCCTGACTCCAGCCCCACGGTACGGGCGGGGCGGGAGGGGTTGGGCAGGCAGCTGCTTGGGGCTCGGCCAGGGCCGGACGCTGGTGGAGGTTGAGGGAGGGGCCGCTGGGCCGTGGGAAGCGGGAGAGGGCCCAGTCTTCCCAGGAATTCTCTGAGAGATGGAGCTTGGATCCGGCTGTGCCTGGCGCGCGGGGTCCAAGCTCCCTGAGGCTCCCTGTGGGCCTCCCCACCCTCCCAGGGCCGCCACGCTGTGAGGTGCAGGGTCAGCGGCTCTTGCGCTGAGCAGGCGGTGGGGTGGGGGGAGTTAGACAGCAGGCCTTCAGGAAAAGCCCTGCTGGTCCCGCCTGTCCCCGGAACCAGGGGTCCCGAGGAGAGCCACCTTCTTCTCTGTCCCGTGTTGATGCCCGTCCACCTCCTTCAGAGGCTCCTGCCTCACAGAAGCTGGGCCCAGGCCCCCTCTCTCACCACACACCGTCCCCATCTCACACCCCAGGGCTGGGCGGGCGCAGAGGGCGCTGGGCCGGGCAGGGGCCTGCTCACCCCTGCCTGCCCTGCCACCCCAGGTTCTGAAGAAGGCCTTCCAGGCCACACTCCGCTGGCTCCTGAGCTCAGCCGTGCCCCCCGGCTGCTGTGACCTAGAGCCCCGTGCCCAGCTGGTTCTCAGAGGTAACCCCTGCCCCCTGCCCCCCGGGGAGCCGAGGGACGCACAGTGGTGGGGCGGGGGGTGGGGGGTGGTGACCAGGGGGCCACAGGCAGATGGGCCGCGGGGCGGGGTTGGGCAGGGGGCCAGGGGGCCGCAGGGTGGGGGCCGGGTGGGGGTCGGTATGGGGGGCCGGGGGGCCGTGGGCGGGCCCCTCTGAGCTGTCCCCCCGCCCCAGAGCTGCTGGCTGTGCTGCAGAAGCGCCTGTGTAGCCCCTGCTGGGAGGTGAGGGACTCGGGCCTTGAGTTCCTGACCCAGATGACCAGACGCTGGGGAGGTGAGCGCAGGGTTTGGGGGCCGGCCCGGCCTTGGCACCCCGCCGCCCCCAGGTCGTGGGAACCTTGGGGGAGCGAGGCGGGGCCGTGGGCTCGGCACTTGGTCACTGCTGCTTGTGGCTGCTTGGACCCCCAGGGCAGGCCGGCTTCAGACAGGCACTGCTGGCCTCGGAGGTGCCCAAGCTCGCCAGCCAGCTTCTGCAGGACCCCGAGAGCTACGTCCGTGCGAGCGCAGTGGCCGCCGCAGGGCAGCTGTCCAGCTGGGGGCTGCTCGCCGCCCCCTCCAGCCCTGAGCACCCGGCCGGCCCACAGGTAGGACACTGTGGGCCCCGTGGCCCCGCGGCCCGCCCCTGGCCAGCACCCTAACAGCCAGGGTAACGCGGGCCTGCCACGGGTGTGGGCAGGTCCCCTAAGTCTCCCGCTCGGCCTCCTGCACCCTTGTCACTTGGATATAGTCACCCCGTTTGACAGGTGAGATAGTGGGGGGCCCAGGGGCACATGGCCTGAAGGAGGCAGAGCAGGCCGAGCTCCAGCGCTCCCGCAGGGGTCCCTCGGGGGTCCGCCCTGCCGCACCGGTACCCAGCCCCCCCGACCCTCCTCGCGCTGTCTTCCAGAAGACCCCGCTCGAGGAGCTTCTGCTTGTCCTGACCACGGACACAGAGGGGTTCCCCCGGCGGGCTGCCATGCGGGTCTTCGCAGAGTGGCTGCGGGACGGCCACGTGGCCGTGGCGGAGGACCGGGAGCGGTTCGTGGCCCGAGTGCTGCAGGCGGCGAGCGGGGACCTGGACTGGGAGGTGCGCGCCCAGGGCCTGGAGCTGGCGCTGGTGTTCCTGCAGCAGCTGCTGGGCGCCCGCAGCCCCGGGGCGGCCCCGCCCGGTGCGCTGGCCCAGGCCCTGCGGGTGCTCTGCCGGGTCCAGCTCTTCGAGTTCGCCTTCCGGTCCTTGTTTGACTGTGACCGCCCTGTGGCCCAGAAGTCCTGTGACCTCCTCCTCTTCCTGAGGGCCAAGGCTGCTCCCTCCAGCAGCCCTCAGGAGGCGGGGGACAGTCCCGACGTGGCCCCCGTGGAGGCCGCCCTGCGGAGGTGGCGGGCCGGTGAACAGGGTCAGCCCCTGGGGGAGCTGGCGCCCGAGGCCGTCCTGGCCGTGCTGAGGTCCATGGACCTAGAGGCCCTTCGGGACACCCTGGCCAAGAGCAGTGATCACGTGGAGAGGAGCCCCCAGTCCCTCCTGCAGGACGTGCTGGCCACTGTGGGCGTCCTGGGAGATAACGAGGCCGACTGCTACTGACCGGCTGGGCGGTGCCTCCCCGGGACCCTGTGGCACCACGGCCCTTCCTCAGGCCCTGCCCTGCTGGGGACCCTGGTCTGGCCGGGGCACAGGGGACCTTTGAGGGGATCCAGGACCAGGCGAGCCCAGCAAGGTCAAAGAGTCCCCATTTTGGTGCATTGTTGAAGAAATGGCTTATTTTCTACACAAAATAAATGTCCTATGACAGTACCAGTGAGTCAGCACAGTTCCAAGATGGCCCAGGGGCAGCCCCGGGCCCCGTGGGGCTCGGAGACACAGCCGGGGAGGGTCCTCTGCGCAGGGGCGACATGCCTCCGTGGCCTGGGGCGGGGGTTCCTCTGCCTGGATCCCACCATGCCCCAGGGACACCCAGGGCCAGAGAGCCAACAGCTCAGGCGGAGAGGGGGCCTTGGCCCCGGGCCCTGAGGCTAGTGACCCCAGGCCCAACCAAGCCAGGTTTTCAGTCTCCAAACCCCCCGACCTCGTAGTGGTTCAGCGCTCACTGGCCAGGCAACAGAGTCACTCGTGACATCAGCCGAGTCCAGCTTCAGGCTGGTCCTCGGGACCGGGCAGAAGGTACCCCAGCCCAGCTCTGCCATCTCCCGGCCATGTGGCCCTGGGTGAACCTGCTTCCTCATCTGTGAAATGGGGATTTTACTGTCTGCCTCCCGGAGGTGAGTCTCAGTGTTCTAAAACACACTGCACAGTCAAGAACTCTCAAGAGAAACTTAAAAGTATTTTTAACTGGATGAAAATGAAATTATAGCTTATCAAAATTTATGGACTGCAGCGAAGCAGTGCTCAGAGGGATATTTATAGCATTGAATACAGGTATGAGACAAGAAGAAAGATCTAAGATCAATAAACTCGGCTTCCACCTTAGGAAACCAGGAGAAGGACAAGTTCAACCCAAAGGACAGGAAAAGAAAGAGCAGAAATCAGTGAAAGCAGGGAGTTAATAGAGGAAGTCATGAAACCAACAACTGGTTCTTAGAAGAAATCAAGAAAGTCAGTAAGCCTCGAGTTAGGCTTCCCTAGCGGCTCATTGGTAGAGAGCCCGCCTGCCAATGCAGGAGATGAGGGTTTGATCCCTGGGTCGGGAAGCTCCCCTGGAGAAGGAAGTGCAACCCACTCCAGAATTCTTGCCTGGGAAATCCCACGGACAGAGGAGCCTGGCGGGCTGCAGTCTACGGGGTCTGGAAAGAGTCAGACACAGCTTAGCGGCTAAACAACAAAGGGCTGTAGCCAGGCTAAGAAAAAAAGAAGACACAAATTACTAGTATTAGAAGTAAAAGCGTGGGCTTCCCTGGTGGTCCAGTGGCTAAGAATCTACCTTGCAATGCAAAGGAACGGTTCCAATCCCTGGTCATGAAAGATACCGCATGCCATGGGGTGACTAAGCCTGTGCGACCCAACCACAGAGCCTCACGCCTGGAGCCCCTGCTCCACAGGAAGAGAAGCCCGCGGGCCACACCAGGGACAGATAAGTCACTGCGGCGATGACCTAGGAGGTGAGGAAACAATGGAAACACCGAGAGATGACTGCCGATGGCGACTGCAGCCGTGAAATTAAAAGACGCTTGCTCCTGGGAAGAAAAGCTATGACCAACCTAGACAGCACATTAAAAAGCAGAGACTTTGCTTTTTATGGACTTATGCTTAAAAGGCATAAAAAGCAGAGACAGACAAAGGTCCGTCTAGTCAAAGCTATGGTTTTTCCAGGGGTCATGTGTGGATGTGAAAGTTGGACTGTAAAGAAAGCTGAGCACCGAAGAATTGATGCTTTTGAATTGTGGTGTTGGAGAAGACTCTTGAGAGTCCCTTGGCCTGCAAGGAGATCCAACCAGTCAATCCTAAAGGAAATCAGTCTAAAATATTCATTGGAAGGACTGATGCTGAAGCTGAAACTCCAATACTTTGGCCACCTGATGGGAAGAACTGACTCTTTGAAAAAGACCCTGATGCCGGGAAAGATCGAAGGCGGGAGGAGGAGGGGACGACAGAGGATGAGATGGCTGGATGGCATCACCGACTCGATGGACATGAGTTTGAGTAAACTCCAGAGTTGGTGATGGACAGGGAAGCCTGGCTTGCTGCAGTCCACGGGGTCGCAAAGAGTCAGACACGACTGAGCGACTGAATTGAACTGAACTGAACTGACGTGCAGTTACCCAGGAAGTAATGTTTGCAAACAGGTGTCCGAGGGGAGGGAGACAGGAAGCTCTGCCCCAGCCATGCTCTGTGGATATGCCCACCTGCTCGCACACATCACAGGGCCTGGGCGGCTCACCCCGCCTCTCCTAAGTGCTGCGGGCTCCCAGGAGGCGGCAGTGGTCCTCTCCATCCCCAGACTCAGGCACAGGGCAGTCCGTGGACAGCCCACACGCTCTGGTCTGTGCTGACTGCATGAGGCCCTTGGAAGAGGGTGTGTCTGTTAGCTATTTCTGTGTAACAAGCAGCCTCAGGCCAGCAACTTAAAACCATGTTTTCTTGTATCTGAAGGGTCTCAAGGCCAACCTGGCATGACTGCTGCTCTGGGCTCGCTCTGTGGCGGGTTGGGGGGGTGGGCTCAGCTAGGAGGCCCCGTGTCTCCTCACCTTGCTGCAGACCAGCCCAGGCTTGTTCTCCTGCTGCCGCAGGAGCCCACGGGAGAGCAGGCAGAAGCACTCCATCCTGCGGCTGAGACCTGGCAGGGTGTCACTGTCGCCGCGGATGGCCAAGGCCAGTACGGGGCAGGCTCCCTCCTTCACAGGCATTGCGGCACAGAGGCTGATGGTTCAGGCAGGGATGCAGGGTCAGGTGCATTTGCCATTGGTCTCCCAGCGGGTAGTGTGGTGGGGAGGAGCTCAGCTTCCTTGCCCATGTGAGCAGAGGGTGAGTGGCCAGGCCTTGGTGCTCAGGGACCACTGACCTGTGGGATGGGCCTTCAGCCAGATGCTGGGACGACAGTCCGGCCTCAGGGCACAACCGTGAGCTCCCTTGAGCCAGGCCCATGCCTCAGGTGGCTGTGCAGCCGGCATACGGGGTTTGTTGAATGACTGAGTGATCTTCGCCCTGGAGCATGTAGCCCAGAAGTTCCAGAGCCACCTCCTTAGGTGCCAGCCTCATCCAGGCTGGGGCAGGGGTGGCATCTCCACCTCAGGGAGCACCCGCCCTTGCTTGCCGGTGCAGCTGGTGGATGTGGAGACCTCGAGGCTCGTCCCCTCCATGGAGGCCGTCTTCCCTGCTCCCGGCCGCGCTGAGATGTGTTGCCATGGAAACTGCTTGGCAAACACGCCGGCAGGCAGAGGCGGCAAACAGCAGCTCAGGCGCCTGTCGGAGTGAGGGTGGTGGGGACGGCGTGAGCAAGTATGCTCAGCTGTGAGTGTGCCCGTGTGTGCGCAGCGTGAGCGCCCTGTGTGTGGAGGGGCATGTGTGCATCACGCTGGGAGTGAGTGCAGGCACGCACATGCGTGCATGTGTGCGCCTGGAGTCCAGCATGTCCGTGTGGACGTGCTCGGAGAGCCGTGCGTGGCAGGGACACGGGGTGTGTGCAGGGGTGTGCATGCCGGGCTGCGACGCATGGCAGCGTGCCCACGTGGGCTGAGTGCTCACTATGGGCTGGGCATTGCACTAGCCGCTCAGGGGAACATGCAACCACCAGCGTGCTCTCGCGGCCGAAGACAGACACTGACCAGGTAATCGTGCATCGGTGGCAGTGCGTGTCAGCAGGGCGCCTGGGAGGAAGTAGCCGTGGGGCCTGACACCTAAGTGAGGGGTGGGGGTCCTCCCTGCAAGGGGGAGGGGGCAGGGCTGCAGGCAGAGACCCAGAGGTGAGACCGGGTGGGAGAGAAGGGGCTGGGGCAGATGGGGGGGCCGCTAGGAGTGGCGGCCAGGGCTCCGTGGCACCCCACCAGGTTGGGGCTCACCCTGACTCGGGAATCCCTGCTGGGGTTGTAGGGTGCTGGGTGCCTTGTAGGCAGAGGGACCCCAGAGGGAGAAAGAGGGTGGTGTCTGGGTTAGACAGAGCCGGCAAGCCTGGGACGTGGTGGGCTGGGTGGCCAGGACACTCACGGCTCGTGGGGAAGGCTGAGCTTCATCCTCAGGTCACGAGGAGTCCTTGAAAGGCTCTGTGGCCACGTGGCTTCATCTGGCTCTGGGTGTGTGGCTGGATGGGCCCAGGGAGGCCTGGCCTGGGGCCAGGGGCCGTGAAAGGGTGTCCTAGAGGTCGACCAGATGCAGCCTGGCCTCCTAAGGCTGCCTCTGCCTTCACCTGGGACCTTCCCCTAATTGCCTTCCCCAACCACCCCTGCCCTTCCTGTGCCTGCTTGGAGAAGCTTCTGGACCATGGGCTCTGAGGACTCAAACTGGCCACAAAGCTGGGACCCTCTTAGGCAGGGCTCCATGTGTCCAGGGCCCCGGGTCCCCACAGGCCGGCCCGGGGAGCCCACGGCCTCAAGGTCTTCTTCTACTGGACGCTGGGCCTCCCGTGTCTCCCCTGTGGGGCAGTGGGGCTCAGGTCATCTCTGGGGGTGGGGACACCCCAAATCCCAGGGGGTGGCCTCAGGTGGGGCCCCTGGCCAGATTCCCCACACCCTGAGTCCCCTGTGTCCACTAAACATGCGCTGGGCCGCTTGCGCTGGGCAGGGGTTTCGGGTCAGAAACCATCAGAGTGTGGTTGGTGTTCCTCTCCGCGATGCCCACGTCCCGGCTGCTCCATCAGCCCTTGGACCACCCCGGGGGGGGGTCGGATGGCTGCGTCCTATGGCGAGGACCTGGTGGGGGTGGGCGGCAGAAGGGAGGCCGCCAGCTGCCTGGAGTCAGCCCTGTCCCGGCTGAGCAGGATGTGGCCTCAATCCTGGGAGCTCCCGCGCCTGCCCTGACCTGGGCACCCAGGACGGAGCTGTCGTTCTTGGGGACCAAACGCAGGGGCCGAACAGAGCCCGCACAGGCGACATTCAGATCCGAGGGAAGCACTGCCTGGTGTCCAGAGTCCAGACTGGCCTGCCAGAACCATGTCG